CATCATCATGTTAGAGTAATTAAATATTAAACCACACATTTATCTAATAGCTTAAACTTTTAGAACAGTTGGCAGTGGTTCCATAAAATCTTTCATGGTATCAGAACTGGAGGTTCTGAATTCGAATCTTTCTAGGCCCTATTTGCCTTCCCAATTAAATATGTCCACGTTTAGTATTAGGCAAGAAGACCAGACTAAACGTAAGGGGGAGTGTTAAAGTAATTAAGTATTAAATCACACCTTCATCTAACAGTTTAAGCTTTTAGAACAATTGGCAGTGGTCCCATGAAAATTTTCACATCATCGTGTGTAACAAGCGAGAAAACTTCTTATTTTGTCATAAAAAAAGAAAAATTACTCAATTCAACATGTCAGATGACCTAACCATCGCGTGATATATCTTCTCATCCTCAGCATCTAAACAGTGGAATCAAAATCTCCTTCGAGCCGTCTGGACTGGAGGCGAAGGACCACTCCAGATACGTGCTCACCATAAGAATCCGTGACCCCCAAATCCAGATTTTGCACCACCAGTTACAGTGCAATAGAAAAACGACGGCATGCCAGCGAACGTGCTGATGATATGAGTAATTTCGTCGTGAAAAGAACTCTTGGTACAGTAGATTTGTCTGGTGGGTAGGGTTACAGTGCGTTCGTGTTGTTTCTTGTACTTGCTTTCTTGAATTTTTTCGTCTTTGCTAATTTAATCACGTGGTACCAAATCCTCTTCCTACATCTCGTCAAGGATTGCGTCGTGTTTCGAAATTCCAACAAACAGATCAAATAAGGTAAGAGCTCAAGATCCGGATCGGGTAATGCATCTTTCTGTTGAATAACCCTTTAACGTAAGATTGCAATAGCCCTAATTTGTAAAGCGGCAAGTGAACTTGTCAAAATGAGTTACAAACTCGTAATGTAATTTGGTTTTACGTAACGGATCAAATAATTAAGAGCTCAAGACCCATATTAAGAATTGAATTGTCTCTTTGAATTTCCTTTAATGCAAGACTGTAACTATCGCATACACTTTATGAGGAAGACATTTCTTCTTTCTGGTCGCCCTAATTTATAAAGTGGCAGGTACATATTGAGTAGTTAGTGTGAAAACATGTCATCCGCTTAAGAACAACGAGATTAGTCTATGCCATTGCGACGTCTGAATCTTATCGAACAACAATAATACAGCCTCCTCGTCCTATTGCGATCGAGTAATAATCAAGGTACGAGTATGAAACTCCTGGAGATGGCTTCGAGGATAAATGCCTTTGGCGGGGCTCAAACCACAACCATGTTTCTGAAATCGCAAATTGGTTTTAAGTCTTAATCAATGAGTAATATGTTAAAAAGAATTCTAATAATGATTGTTTCGATAAATAACATTTGAATTTTGAAGGTAACAAAAATGTGGAACTGAGATTGTTGAACATCCATCTAGGGAACGACTTTTGATAATTTACAATTGATATGTGTTGATCCATATATATGAATTTTGAAACATAACTCTGCTTCCTAATTGTTTCGTATGATATCCGAAGTTTATACTTGTTAGTCACATGGAAATTCGTCTTTGAAACTTGCATTGTGCGACAACACACCCTCTACAAGAGCCTGTGTTGTTTCTTCCTACTAAAAACTTTTTGGAAACATCCGATCATCGCCTCAACTGTATCATCTGCGGACATGGCGCGCAACAAACAAATTTCGACTTGTCACTATAGGGCCCTGGATTCAGGATTTTACACTACCTGCTCAAGGATCACGAGCTACAGATGGGTTAGAGTGTTACTTTTAGGGCTGTGCAATCGGACCATTTTTATTTAAGAATCGGATCAAATCGTCCTAAAAGTCAGTCCTGTTTCAAGTTTCTTTTGGAACCGATCCAGTTCCCGCTTTCAAGTAGAGAACCACCCAAAAACTAGACCGATTTTGAAACCGGTTTCATAAAGTCTAAAAATCTTAGTTTTTCTCTTGATATATTTTTCTCTATCTCTTTTTTTCTCTGTTCTCTCCAGGACTCCTCCCTCCCTCACTCAAACAATTCACAACTCTCTTTCTCTCGCTCGTAACTCACCCTCCTCCTCGCTTGGTCGCAGCTTGCCGTCACTCGTTCGAGTCTCGCAACCCTCGCTCGTTCTTGACTCGCTCTCACTTAAACTATCCTTAAGTGATTAACTATGTTGTTTGTTTTATTTTCAGGTGATTAGAATTTTGGAGCAATATTTTTATGGATGAATGAGGAGTGGAGTTTTATGATATATGTTTTATGTTACGTGTTTTGAACAATTAATCGTTTATAATTGTACATGACTACGTGTTCATATTATGGATTGTTGCTTTTAGCGGACAAGAGATTTCTATTGTTCATCTTTTACTTTGAACCGTTTTGTTGCTAATATTATTTTGTTGTAAAAAAATGAAACAAGAAAAAGGAACAAAAGAAAAACAGGTTCTTAAGTAGACTTGGAACTAGGCCGGAGAAACATAATAGGTTTCAGGACTACATTCAAGACAAACAAGGTATGTTCCAAATTCTAAAAACTGAGAACCAATTATAACAGGGTTGATTTCAGATTTTAGGGCTGAAACCTACTCTACCTAGAACCGATCTCTCTTAGTTATTTCTAATACTTAACACTCCTTACTAGCATCGAGAACGATCGTGGAGACATGTCGACATGTAGGGACAAGACGACCAGAGTGGTACGACCGATGTGGATATTGCTCAAAAGGCCCACTCGAGCCTTGACGGGCTTTGATGGAATGAGCCCATGGTCCTCAGGAGGTAGAGTACACCGTTGGATCAAAATGTAATAAATCTTAGCCGTTGAATGTATCTCGGCTTGGACGGTTTAGAATTGCTTTTCGATCCAACGGCGAAAATCACCAGGAGGCACGGTGCATTGTGGAGACCACAGAATAACCCGGCCTCTCCATTTTCTTGTCCTGGCCGCCTCTTCTTTCCATTTTGTCCTTTGCCAACTCGCCATTTCGTTTTATAGGCGAAAAGTTCTTTCCTCTTTTTAACTTTTTTTGTGATTTATGGTGATGGGTGAGGTGATGGACGTGATAGTATCATGGAGAAAATTTAAAATAAGGGCTTAAAGTGCTCTCATTTTCTCAAATAAGGATCCGAAGTGAACTTTGTGTCAAATAAGAATCTGAAGTGGCATGTGAGTCTTAAATAAGGGCCTGAAGTGGCCATGAGAGTCCCAAAGAAGGACTTGACTTCGCCGGTTGCCAATCGGCGAAATATTCCGGCTGATCAAGGGTATTTTCGTCAAAAAACCATTTTAATTTTAAATTATTTTTCTTTTCTTTTTTTCCTTTTTCTAGTTTTCTCTTTGTTCTTCACCGGTGGCTGACCGCCCACCGATGAAGCCCGGGAAGGGCTACGTGAGGGCGACCCTCATTGGCCATGGGCCTCGCCAGATCTGAGCAAGGATTGCCTCGCCAACTGCCAGCGAGGCCATCCCTCGCTTGTTGCCTGTGAGGCGACCCTCGCCCAGATCTGGCGAGGGGTGGCCTCGCCCATGGCCGGTGAGGCCGTCGCCAGATCGGGCTAGGTGAGGGTCGCCAGATCGGGCTAGGCGAGGGTCGCTCAGCCTTTCTCGGGCTTTGCCAGTGGCCAGCCAGCTGTGAGCCACCGGTGAAGAACAAAAAGAAAACCAGAAAAGAAAGAAAAAAGGAAAAGGAAAAAAATTCAAAAAAGTAAAAAACCGAAAATACCCTGATCATCCAATAAGCTATGCCCTTTTTTGAAACAGATATAGCCACTTCAGGTCCTTATTTGAAATAAAATCCACTTCGAACCCTTATTTGAAAAAATAAGGGCATGGCACAGAGTCCACTTCAAGCCCTTATTTGGAATTTTCCATTTTCTTTATACCAAAGTCCAAGTTGATGTTATTATGGCCCTTCTAATGAAAGTTGATCCGTCCATAGGTCTAGCACAAGAATTTTTTTCATTCACTCCATGGCCAGATCCACGTGTCCATCCCGCGTCGGGCCGGCGGCCCATTCACTCAGGTTTTGAAATTGGGCTTTTCATTGGGCCTATGATGAGTCCAATAAATGAGGACTGGATCAGATCTCGTCGATTCAGAGGGACAAAATTGATTAAGGTGTAAATTGAATTAGGGATGGTATTACTTTGTTAATCTCATGACATACGAATTGCAGATTGCATGCCCATTTCAATCACTCACGGGCTTTTTAGAGTGGTGTCGTTTCAATTTAGGAGTATGGTATCAAGACATGAGCATGCCGATTTACTTTCCGCTTCCATCCGTGCGATTTAACTCGGCAACAATAACATCTATGCTCACATATTCATGTTTGGTATGTATAACGCATTTCACTTACTCACCGTTGTATCCTATAGTATCGGAACCTATTGAAACTATGCAATTCGAGTGATTTGGCGCTCAATATTATGGTGAAATGATCAATCTTAAAGGGGAAAAAGCCAGAAAAAACCTCAAATTAGGCTCACCATGACACATTTATCATATAGATTTTTTTTGTAATATAAAAAATCCTAAAGTTGTATCTATGTGACACATTTACCCTCCGTCAATATTACATTAGATGATTTTTCAGCAAAAATAACGTCATTTGTATTTTAATTAAGCTACGTGAGCCCCCTGATTTTTAACAGTTTATCATTGACAGAACTTCGACGGAGGATAAATGTGTTATACAGATACAAATTTGAGATTCTTAGTGTTATAAAAAAAAGTTATGTAATAAATGTGTCACACAGATATAAATTTTGGGTTTTCTGGTGGCTTTTGCCCATCTTAAAATCGACAAAGGAATGATTCAATTGAACACAAAAAATTAATTTCCAAAGCCAATCGCACGTTGGAATTTCGCCTCATTCGCGTGGGTGAAAATATCAAAGAACTCATAAAAAGCTGAACACGAAATTTTCCCCCCCTTTTTATTTTTCTAATGTTTTTATTTATTGAGGCACGGCTAAACCGAGGAACAACCAAAAAAAAAATCTCAGCAAACAGTAGTGCAGAGATCGAGAGACGGAGAAGAGGACGAACTTCACAGCACCTAAAAACTCGAGCGCACGAACGAGTGTCAACCGAAGCAAGCGGCGAAGATGGCTCTCTTCTCCTTCGCACCGCAACCTTCCTCCCTGTTCTCCTCCGTCAGCAACCGCAACCGCAACCGCGAGCTCTCGGCCGCCGCGCCCGCCGCCTTCCTCAAGCCCACGCTCATCTCTCTCCTCCCCCCGCGCTGTCCCAGGAGGCTCTCTCCCTCTCCCCTCACCCTCGCTCGCTCCCCCGACGCCCCCGACGCCCCCCCCGAGCCGGACTCCTCGGCGGCGCCCGCGAACGTCACCGACGAGTGGGGCGAGAAGGCCGACCCCGAGCCCGAGGCGTCGTACTCGAGGCTCTCCGATTCGGACCCCCCGAGGGAGGACGACGAGTGGGGCGGCGGCGGCGGCGGCGGCGTGGAGGGGTACGTGGCGGCGGGCAACGGGACCCCTTCGGCTCAGGGGGAAGCGGCGGCGGTGGAGGAGGGGGCGGTGGAGGATAGGGTTGGGGATTTGAAGCGGTGCCTGGCGGACACGGTCTACGGGACGGACTTCGGGTTCCGGGCCGGGCAGGAGGTGAGGGCGGAGGTGCTGGAGCTGGTGAACCAGCTGGAGGCGGCGAACCCGACGCCGGCTCCGGTGGACGCCACGGGGCTGCTTGATGGCAACTGGGTCTTGGTGTAAGTTTTGCAAACTTGCTTAATTGTGATAAATCTAGTGTTTTTTGGTCATCAGTGTGTCGCTGATGTGAATATATCGTGCTGTTTTCTTATCGGTTTAAGGTTTTAGTGTCCCTTGCGCAATCGGATTAGGGCTTATGATGGATCTTCATTCCTGTTTCGCCAATGTTATTGGGCGCGGTGCACATTTCAGGCTTTCCTCAATTTGCTGCTCTTGTCACTTATATGCATAATGCTTATAGTATATGTCATACGCTTCTCGTCTCCTAGCACTCAACATTCGATAGAATAATCTGTCGCGTATTAATAGGGGTGATGAGCCTTGAGTGTCTGCCAAGATTTAAGAACAGGCAACCATCGAACAAATTATGCATTATAGCCGAGAATTGAGATGTTAGCTTGTGTAGATGCCTCTTTGAAGTTAATTGGTTCGTACATAGTGAACCTCGGAGTATTCATGTAATGAAACCCCTTCATGTTGTGGTTTTATGGGTTTTAGTCATTAGAAGGTGTAGAAAAGAGAATCCTCTCGCGTCATATCCTTCAATCCTATCAATTGGAGTAGTCGCCAAGTTGATTGTTTCTTAAGGTATTGATGTTGGTGTATAACTTACATGAGGAGGAGTTTTCATGACCAGTCGAACAAGCAGAGTTCATGTGTAGAGTGGGTGCTCATCGTTCTAGTTTAACTAAAGTTGGAACATATTCCAGTGTGACAGAAATAGAAAAAAAGAAACAGTAATGACCTGCTGATGTTTCCATGGTAAAGTGCCTCGTACTTGCTTTGCTAGAAATTTTACCTCGTCAAAGAGAGTAGCTGTATTTTATTCTTACGCTTGTTTGTTTGCACTTTACTGTCCTGAATTTTCTGATTATACATTAACTTCTGTTGGTGGACTTTTTACTTTAAAGGTGATAATGGGTTCATTCTTCTTGTTGTGTCAATACTCTAACTGGAAGCACCTATGCAATGCGTTATTCCCATCTAAAGGTTGTGCGAGGATCAAGCGTTGATTATAGTCTTGAAAGCAACTGAATTCAATGATGGGTGAATGTAATCTCTTGTCCTGTCTGAGAAAATAGTTTCCCTTATAGCAATTTGATGACACCTTATGCCGAGTTTTTTTGATAAAGCTTCTACTCTTCTTCTTGAAACTAATTGTTTGTCTTTCTTTTTACACCGAATCATTGATTTTGGTTTCATATAGCTCTAGCCTCACATAATATTTCAAGTTTACTCCATTGTGTTTTCATGTTTCATGTGTTCTGTGAAATTGTTGATCTCGCCGCCAGAAGAAATTGATGAAAAGAACCTCTAGTTTCAATATTATCTATCTGTTATGGTTATTAGTAGTCCATACTCAGCATTTTTTCCACTTCATCAGGTACACGGCTTCCTCCGAGCTCCTGCCTCTTCTGGCTGTGGGGGCAACGCCGCTCCTGAAAGTTCAAAAGATAAGCCAATCTATCGATACCAGTAGCCTCACAATTGTGAACTCCACCACACTTTCCAGCCCCTTTGCTACTTTCTCATTCAGTGCATCTGCGGCTTTTGAGATAAGAAGTCCCTCAAGGATTCAGGTAATTCTTGTCTGCTGCTCAATGACATAGTCTACAAATAGAAATCTTTTACAAAGCTTTTGCTTCTATGGAAACTGAAAATTTAGAGTTGCATTACTTTGAGGATCCAACTGATGTGATGTCTCCAGCTTTCTCATGTAATTCCTGTTTCATGTACGTGAATTCTCCGTTGCTGGACTCTAGACATTTATCGTGGTGAATTTGAATGGTGGAGGAAATTGTAGGCCAAGAATTACGATAAAAAATCGGTGAACAGTTACCATTTTCCAGGAAATCGTTTCAAATGCATCTGTAAACGTTACTATTTGTCTAGGGCCTAGGCAGTGAATCAAGGAGATGCTTTGTTAGTGAATCAATGTTCCTAACTTGAAACAATCTCTCTCTCTCTCTCTCTCTCTCTCTCTCTCTCTCTCTCTCTCTCTCTCCCCTTCCTTATCATCTTGATATCTGTTTGTTGAAAGTTCAGAGACGATTCATCTATGCGCAGGTTGAATTCAAGGAAGGAACCTTCCAACCTCCTGAGATAAAGCCGACCATCGATCTCCCAGAAAGTGTGAATGTCTTTGGGCAGAACATAAATCTAATGCCAGTGCAGCAATCAATCAGTCCTCTGCAGGAAGCCGTGGCGAGTGTTTCGCGTGCCATCTCCGGTCAGCCACCACTTAAGCTTCCCATTCCAGGCGAGAGGACCCGCTCTTGGCTTCTCATCACATACCTCGACAAGGATATGAGGATATCACGAGGGGACGGGGGTCTCTTTGTGCTTGTCAAAGAAGGGAGTCCTCTTTTGAATTAGTAACCAGACACCATTCATCAGGGTATAGGAAAAAGGATTTGGCAGATTTTCCCGTGCTTGTTGTATCGTCGACCAACATAGATATTCAGAGATTGAAACTGGTGCACAGACTTGTAAATTAATCGGGGACTTGCCCTTGTTGAGAGATTGAGATGGATGCAGAGCTAAGAGTAAGATCATTTGCCAATTTATAACTAAATGGTGTACGATGTTCTCGACGATCCACAGCTACATAGTTCGATTAACACTGATGAAATGCCCATTATTTCCGAGCGCCTTCCCTCCTAAAATCTGTTGCTTAGAAGTCGGTCTTGGCTTTCTAGTTTCTGATGTGTTCTCTTTGGCAGATTTGAATGGAAGTCAAGAGGGAGAATGTATGAGTGATTCAAATGCCCTTCCAAGTCAACTTGGAAAAGCAGTCTTGGACGGCGTTGAACCTTTGAATGCTACTTGGCATCAATCCCTTTTACGTGGAAGCCAAATTTGTCATAGCATCGGTGGTTATTCCTAGGAAGTAGGTGAAAGTGATGCTGCTAAGGAGTAGGACAAATAGTCACAGGTCTTGCCTCCAACTTTGCACCGAGATCTGAACTACTAAATTCTCATTGGACTGAGCCAGACAACTTGTTCCTTTTTGTCTTCCAAGTGTCTAGAAATTCTTGGTAGAATTGGTAAACTTTTTTTATGGAATAGATGGTATGCAAGTATTCATTAGGGTAAAAAAGCCGACTTTATCAGGTTCGCTTGCTGTTGGGAGCCATTGCGAATGGGCCAACCGTGGTTAAACCGACAAAAAGTACATTAAGAACGAAAAATAAGACACCAAAGATTAATACCATTAAAAATTTCAAACCGGTACGTTATGACATTTTTACTTAAACTAATTTTGATTTTATAAAAAAATCTTAAACTGGTATACCACCAACGTAATTACCTCAAATTAATTTTCGTGCAAAGAAATCCTAAATTGGCACACTTACACAAATTTTACCATCCTTTAAAATGCACACATGCTAACACATATAGATTTATCACATCCGATCCATAGTTCTCTACGTCCGATCAATCTTCAAGTCATCAGCCACGTGTCTTTGAGACGTATGCATTTTAACGAGGTATTGGAGGCAGTGCTAATAAAAGGGTAGATTTGAGTCAATGATAGGGTTTCTGTTTTATTATGAGACGAAAATTGATTAGAGGTTAATATGTCACACAGGTACAGGTTTGTGATTTTTTGTGAGATGAAAATTAATTTGAAATAAGTGTGTCATACTTACCCATTTGGAGATGAAAATTAATTTCTGATAAATGCATCATAAGGTTCAGATTTGGAATATGTATGGGTATTCATTTTATTTTCAGTAAAAAAGGAACAAAATCACAAAATTTAATGAGAAGTGGTTGACAGAATCCCAAGGATGACCCCATCAAAAGGCTAACGTGCACCAATCACGGAGTTGGCGCCTCTCTTGCCGCGTCTTATGAACTTTCTCTCTGTCCTAGCTGTTGACTTTGCTTTTCTCTCTCTCTTTTTCTTTCTTGTTTTTTTGATCGTAAACATTGTTGATCCATTCAAAACAAGAACACCGCCGAGTCTTGGACGCAGGAGTGATCTTCGGTCAATCCGATACTACGCCGTGTTCATCGATTTATAATGCAGCAGCAGCAGCAAGCAATCACTGGGGTCATGCTTACTCGATGACACCACCTCCCGCTTTTGCCGTTTGTATCCTTCGTTTCGAATGATCCCATGATTTGGTTTCGTGGGTCGATGCTAGTTTGGAGCATCCATTGAAACACCCGCCGTTTCCTTCCAGCAGACATCCCAAGATCCAAGAGAAAGAAAGATCGTCTGTCCTGGAGGAAGAGATGAGAAGAGGCGCCATGCAGGTTTGATTCTCGAGACAGAAGATGGGATCCCAATAAATCAAGCGAAACGTCATTCAGTTCGAGATACAGGGTTCTTCTTGATCTGCGACGTCCTTTTCCGTGTTTGTTAGTTGAAATCTTGACATATATACGTATATCTACGCGTTGTATAGTTGAAGAGAGAAACTTGGAACTGCCCGCCCATTCCAGCATGAGCAACAAGGAATCGGTGAAGCTAGACGACGAGCAGATCGCCGAGCTGCGCGAGATCTTCCGCTCCTTCGATCGGAACAAGGACGGAAGCTTGACGCAGCTCGAGCTCGGGTCGCTCCTCCGGTCGCTCGGCCTGAAACCGAGCCCCGAGCAGCTCGAGGCGCTCATCCAGAAGGCCGACACCAACAGCAACGGCCTGGTGGAGTTCTCTGAGTTCGTGGCCCTCGTGTTGCCGGAGCTCCTGCCGGCCAAGTCGCCGTACACGGAGGAGCAACTGAAGCAGCTCTTCCGGATGTTTGACAGGGACGGGAACGGGTTCATCACGGCAGCCGAGCTGGCTCACTCGATGGCGAAGCTCGGTCATGCGCTCACTGCGGAGGAGCTGACGGGAATGATCAGGGAGGCTGACACGGATGGTGATGGCAGGATTAGTTTCCAAGAGTTCTCGCAAGCAATCACATCAGCCGCCTTTGATAATTCCTGGGCTTAATTAGGAACATGGATGCTTTTGCCTCCAGGCTCAATGGGATTGTGTGTTGATTCCTATTTCATGCTAGTTATGTTGTATCTTTTGCTTTTCTTGAGATCATACAGATGATCCTACTACTGTGGCAGGTGAGTTTAGAATGTAGGATGGAGTATGATTTTGGTATGTCGAAATCAAGTCCGCTGTGGTTACGATAGATGGGATAAAGTCCGACCAAATTTTGGCAGATGATACGCCGACTTTGCTTGCCCTGATATATATTGAAATTCAAAGTTTTAGCACTCAATTTCACCGTGTTGGGAATCATTTTAACAAGGTTCCCATGTTCAAGAACAAGATATCGTCTAAAGTTGAACTGGGTTTTTCCAGATCTCTTGCGCTGGCGTCTCAGAGTAGTGGTAATAGCTTTCCAATGGGGCGAATATTGTTAAAGCTTGGTATTGTGCCTGCGAAACATATATTTCTGTCACATTCGCCTACTATCACGAACTCTCCCTTTCCTGCTTACTAAGACTAAGTATGCAGCAAATGAGGCGTCATTTCGATCTCTCGTGCCCGCCTACTGCATGACAATAAATACACATTTCAACATGCCGAGAATCTTAAGCAGTGACGTGTTAACTCGGAATAACATTCAAAAGTAGCAAAATCAGATCGATTTCACATTAAATTTGAGTGACCACTGCATACAGACTCGAAGGAAGAGACACGTTGTATGAATGTTGTGCACGCACTTGCTAACTTCCTCCTAGAGGAAATTATGCACAGATGGAGAGCCGGACCAATGTTCATTCTATGGTAGAAATAGTACATCATGGTTTCAACTGATTCAGACTTGCAAGGATCATAGTCGAGCTGTACAAGTTTCACTCAAAGTCACAGAAGTAGTCGTTCCTGGTCCAGTAGTGCCTAACAATAATCATCAGGCCTTCCGTTTTGCTCTGAAGGATGAAGAACAGGACCGTCTCTTCACATCAAAAGAACTTGAAAAAAAGATGTTTGATCAGCGATGGTCCCATTAATACTAACGGAGAAGATATGGATTGATAAACAAGTCTTTGAAAATATAGGAATCCAATTACTCTGCAAAAGATCCTTTTCCAATTAAAGATCCATCACAAGGAGTATCAGCCCACATGTTCTTCATTACATCCATCTGAAAAAAGATAACTAACTACAGAATCTATGTCCAGAATGTGGTAGTGTGAGGCCAAACAGAAAGGGAACAACAAAAATTGGTCATTACGCTTTCTTCTTTTTCGATTTGAGCTTCACAAACCCAATGAATACACATAAGAAGCATAAGAGTGCCACGCCCGCGAAAATGGGTATGAGTATTGCGTATTCCTGAGGTAGAAAGTACTGGTGGATGAAGTGATCACTATCCACAAAAGGCTGCAAAACGAAACAGAGGGATGTGTGTGAGCATGAAAGAATTTGCAAACCACAACATAGGCAGATCAACAAGTCCAGAAATTACAAGTCAGACGCACTTACCAGTATGATGACCCAAAAGGTGTAGTAAGTGAAGATGGATAAGCTAACAAGTGTTAACAGAAACCCCACCGCTCTATCCGCCAGTTCCATTTCGCATGCCCCTAGCCTCGAGCTACTAAAGAAAAGAAGATGCGATAGTGAGTGCATATACTCCCTCCTCACAGGAAATTATTTTCGCAATTAAGAGCAGAAATAGAGCAAATATATTTTGGGCACAACGAGTTGTTAATCGATAGCCTGTGAAACTGCTCACTAACCTCTGAAGAAACAGAAAATTGAACGCATCCAAGTAAAATCAATTCATTCTTTTTTCTCAAGAAACCTGATTGGGTTATCAACGTCTGCAATGTCGAAATCCCCGAAAAAGAAAAAATCATCGCAAAACCGGGTATATCAACTTTTGCAAGGACGAGCGAAAATATCCAATACCATCTCTACATAACCAATACAATCTTACAAACTTCGATCATTGCTCGAGGAGAGCAGCTAGCTTTCAGGAAGCATCACCTTCTACATCCTGAGTTACTGATCAGGCTACGCTGCGGAGCTTCAACAAAATCTATCACGTATAGTGTTTGCTTTCTCTTTCTCTAAACCCACGTACAGCTAAAAAGGGGCCAATATAACCAGAACACCATTACTGGGCAAAGACGCAGAGCATGACTCCTCCTCGAGCAATTTAGCTGCCGATAACTTCTTTTTTTAACACACGTATGACAACCCAAAAAGAAATGCGCTTTCTCACAATCAAAAACTAGCGTTCAAGATCTAAGGCTGGATAAAAGAAAAGCAAGATGAAGAGAGAGAGAGAGAGAGAGAGAGAGACGAGTTGCGCAGCAGATCAAAGTCACAGCAAACCAAAAACTACCAAGAGCGAAAACAAACACATCTCCTCCGTAAGTAATTCTTTTCTTTCAACGCGAGACGCAAATTTCTACGGAAAAACCTCCATTCAGTTTCTAAGTATTGCCGATTCGATGAAATTGCAAAGGTCTCAATAGCCGCGCACAAAAAGCAATCGCAGGCAAAAGAAATGATCTTTTTTTGGGGTAACAGGAAGAGAACTCTTACCCGGCACCCCCCGAAGAAACAGCTGAACGGCCGACGACGGTGCCGGAGGATGTTCCCCAGTACGAGATCGAAAGAGATGAAGTCGACCCGATTCGGCTCTGACACTGTTTGCCCAGGAACGGTGAATCATTCGACAAGGGAAAAAAGAAAGGAGTCTTTGACAAATGAAAGAAACTTAGATGGGCTTGGGCTTGGGCTTAATAGACTTGGCTTCAATTTGGAGCCACAATAGTGCCGATGGAAACATTGGGCTAAAAAAGATTGAGCTTAAAATTGAGATTCGGAATGGAACGGATTTTTCATGTTCGGATGCCCACCAATTCGGTTCTCGGTTCTAAGGTATACAGAGTAGGTTACAGGTTTCGAATATTGGGGAACTGATTCTGACGAGTAGGTTCTAGATCACTTGGAACAAGTCTTTGTGTTTTTTTACTATTCTATGTTTTCGCGCAATTCTGTAGTCCGATGATGAGCGTGTAATCTGAAATCACTAGTCCGAGCTTCCATTTCTGGCAATATTTATGACTTAAACTTTTACTTTGTTAATATTTTATATTGTTCGCGTGTCTAAATACGAGTTGTAATAAGTGGATTGTAGTAGCAGCAAATGGCGGTCATTAGAATTGATAATTCACTATAATTATTCAATTAATGTTATAGTTGGAACTTGCCTATAACAGGGTAAGTTCCAAATTCAAAAAGTTTGGGAACTGATTCGGAAGGTGGGTCTTGAGTGGAAACCACTCACCGTTAGCCACAAGGAACGATGTGAAAAAGAGGTACCTTTTATTGTGTGAATAAGGAATAAGGGCAGCCTCAATACAAACCGCGCTTGGATTTTTTTTCGAAGCTTCGGGTCAGAGATACAAAAAATGGTCATTCCGGCCAATTCGTTGCGATGATTGCTCAGAGAGCCTGTTGTATTTTCTGGACACATCATTTATTAAAGGGGAAATGACACAAACAGTCCCTAAACTTTAACCCAGTGTGCATTTTGGTCCATGAACTTTTAATTTGTTCAATGTAATCCCTAAATTTTAATATAGTGTGCAATGTGGACCCTGAACTTTTAATTTGTTCAATGTCATCCATGAACTTTAGTACATGTTTAATTCAGTCCCTAAACTATATGAAAATGTTCAATATAGTCATTTCCATTAATTCAAGTTCAGGGACTACATTGAACATTTTCACATAGTTCAGGGACTGAATTGAATATGTATCAAAAGTTCAGGGATGACATTGAACAAATTAAAAGTTCAGGGACCATATTGAACATTAGCTTAAAGTTCAGAGACTACATTGAACAGATTAAAAGTCCAGGGATCAAATTACATATTGGGCTAAAGTTCAAGGACCGTTTGTGCCATTATCCCTTTATTAAAATAACTGAAGTGATCAAAACCCAGCAATCAAGAAAGAATCAAATTATGCAATTTCTCGGTACGGCGTGAAAGCCTAAAAAAAGTCCTTTTCAATTCCGCGTCCGAATTCCATTCCCAACGTTTTTGCAAGGCGACACATGCGTAGGCACAACACAACATGTCTAGTTCGATTCAAATTCCTAATCATTCCAAATCCCCCCTAGAGATCGAAGGAAGTCGTTCCTCTCCCGCCTCGGGCCCCACTCAAGACCGCGACTGAAAAAAATCCGAAACGACCTGGCGGGGCGCTGCCTTAATGAGTACCCAAACAAAGAAAGAAGAGCCAGGACAAACCCTCCTGGCCCATCTCCGCCACACACGTGTCCCTCCCCACCCTGTCCCCCGCCGTCACTTTTGCCGGCGAAAAGGATGACCTCATCAATACTCGACCGTCCACCGGAAACCGCAAAACCGGAAAAGGAAATTCGGGAAAAAAAAGAAAAAGGGAGGGGGAGAAACAGGGGAGAAAATGGGGAAATTCCACCTCACCTTCGCTTGTTCATGCCATCGCTCTCCAACAATTGGCAAAATTTCGCATCGACAAAAGACCTGTCTGTCGCTCCCCCTGAATTCGCGGCTTGTAATGAGCCCCTAAAGTTGTCCGGTTCCGATCGGAAATTTCCACAATTTCTCCGAAATCCTTCGTCACTCTCTCGCTCTCTCTCTCCCCTTGTCCTCCGATTTTGCGCCGGTTGTGGATTTCCTGTGGGGGGGGGGTGGGCGGCGGGGCGGTGGTGGTGGCGGTGGCGGGTCTCCTAGGGCTTGCGGGAAGCGGCGATGAGCTTTCAGGATCTCGAAGGCGGCCGCGGGTCGGGATCGAGGCGGGAGGTCGTCAACGGCCGGCAGGACCCCACGCAGGCCGTCGTCTCCGGCGTCTTCCAGATCAACACCGCCGTCAACACCTTCCAGCGCCTCGTCAACACCCTCGGCACCCCCAAGGACACCCCCGAGCTCCGCGAGAAGCTGTGAGTCCCCCTCCCCCCTCCCCCCAATCTTCAATTCCGTTCGAATTTTTGGAAACGATTCTGTTGGTTGACGGCGCCGTGTTACCGAGGCGAGAAATGGACTGAATTGATCGTCGAGGGTGGAGTGGTCGCCGTCCTATATGATCATTTCGTTTGAGCTGAATGTGTCGAGTTCTGTAAATGTGCTGTAGTGGGGGGTTTGGTTTATCGTCTTGTGAGCGTGATTGTGCATGACGTTTCGGTTGAATTTGTTGGCCACTTGGATTAAGGGAGAAGTAGGGATGCTGTACACGCAGAATATGTATGAGTATCGCACGATTTTGTTGTTCCGATAGTCCTTAGCCGTGCTTCGATGATTTTGAAACCACTGTCTGTTTGAAGCTATTTCAGCATTCGTTGCTTTGTTGCGCAGCATTCTCATAAACTTATGAAGGGTTGCTATGGGTTGTACGCCTTAGTTTTAAGAAGCTCTTTTTTTTTTTTTACCTCCCGAATCTACAGGCGCAAAACGAGGCTACATATTGGACAATTGGTGAAGGATACATCAGCTAAGCTTAAAGAAGCGAGTGAAACAGATCATCATGCTGGAGTAAGCGTAAGTTCCCTCCAACACTTTGCCAATGGAATGAAGGAATTGATGATGCGTGATTGGATAGCCATTTTTTCCTAGTTAGTTGTCGTCGTTATTGACATTCTTACTCTGGGTACTTGCGCCTATAAATGTTTTAATTCAAACATTAACATGGAAAATTGAATATCTTTCATTGCTTGCAGCCCAGCAAGAAGATCGCAGATGCCAAACTGGCAAAAGATTTTCAGGCAGTTCTTAAAGAGTTTCAGAAGGCTCAACGGCTTGCAGCAGAGAGAGAAACAGCATATGCGCCGTTTGTTCCCCAGGCAGTACTTCCTTCGAGGTAATTTTTTCAGGATGGTTCAGTCTGTAAGATCTTCTGGTTTCTTCATTTTTTTCCTTTTAATTTTCTAATTCCATCCTAAGTGTGTTTCGACTAACTGCTGCAGATCATGAACAAGTGGTAGACTTTTTACTCCCACTTTTCTAATGCATATTCCCTGTACCTGCCACACACTATTAATTTTTCATGTTTGTGGATGCAGCTATACTGCCAGCGAGATTGATGCCAGTTCAGATAGCAGTCCAGAACAGCGGGCCCTTCTAGTTGAATCCAGAAGGTTATATCTGCAAATTTTTCATGTTCTGCTTTCTTGTGTCAATGCTTAAAACCTTACTGTTTGGTACATAGATGGTTTGATCTGATGTAACTTGTAAGTACTGCATATGCTTTATGATGCTTTTATGGGGTAGTTTTGTGTTGGCTCATCAGGACTGTCTCTTCTTCCCTCTTTATCTATACCCTGCCTGTTCATCTCACTAAATTTCATCAAGTTTTCGTTCAGTCCGTCTACATGACATCGTCATTTGATAAGAAAATTTGTTATGTTGAGATATTCTTGTTAACATCTAGTGCAAGTGGATCTACGTTGAAAGATATCAAATTGAAATACTGCATATTGATTTTTTTTTAAAAAAAACTGGTCAATTTTTTGTGGTTTATTGCTTTTTCTACTAGCTATAGTGCACATTAGTTGGGATGCGTTTCAGTGTGGCGAAGTTTTGAAATATTGTCGTGGACCTATCTTGCAGACAAGAAGTCCTGCTTTTGGATAATGAGATCGCCTTCAATGAGGCTATTATTGAGGAAAGAGAACAGGGAATCCAAGAAATCCAGAACCAAATTGGCGAGGTGAATGACATTTTTAAAGATCTTGCTGTCTTGGTTCATGAGCAAGGGACCGTGATTGGTAAGCTATGGTCTTTTCTTAGGATCTTCGATTTCTTAGTTTTATGGTCTGGTTGACTAATGAATTTTAACCAATCGATCATGACAGATGATATTAGCTCCCACGTTGATAATGCTCAGGCTGCAACTTCTCAGGGAAAGACCCTACTTGCAAAAGCGGCGAAGACTCAACGGTCAAATTCATCTCTGGTAATTCACGATAGCAATCTTGCTCTGCATATCAGAGTTTAAGAAAAAGCACATTTCGATGCACTAAAGCACTATGGTGGGGCATCATCTGACATGGTCTTTCATCTGTTTCCAGTCCTCTAATTGTCTCATATATTAGAAAACCATGTGCATATACCAGTTGATACTAAAGCGTATTTGGTATAAGTTTTGCTCATCTCATCTTTGTCGATGATTGATGCTGTTGCATTCACCACCTGCTTCCATATCTTTTACCTTTATTTTTCCTGTCAGCGCATGCAGCCGCTTGTGCTGACAAAAACCATCTTGTGATCCTTGCCAAGTTTACTGCTGAGATGCACGATATCATCTTAACTTCCATTCTATTGCCATGCAGGCTTGTTTGCTTCTGGTGATATTTGGGATTGTGCTTCTCATTGTGATCATAGTACTCGCAGCTTAATCAGGATTTAGCAATCCTGGTGGTATGTTGTGCAAACCCTACTGATCTGCTTCAGAAGGCAGTGACAAGGTGGTCGTCTCCCTGCATGGCTCTTCAATTGTGGCCTTTGTGCGACTCCATGGTTGAATGGATCGTCACCCTTCCAGTCTCATTTTCCGTATATAAATATCAGCTTTTGTCTTGGGCTCATTTTTTTGTTATTTTTCCCTTTCTTCTTCCCTGTGGCTTTCCCGGAGTTGGGTGCATGGGTATTGCTTCCGTTGTTCGGGTCTTGAATGTGGGTCTCGGACTCTGCGTGCCGTGGTTTGTTGTATAATTTGTCCTTTCCTTTCAAAAAAAAAAAATGAGAGTAACTAATTCTTTTCCGGTCTTATGGTGAGTGGGATAACTAGAAGGAATATACGTACCTGAGTTGTTTCTACGATATTTCTTTTTTCTACCTGTGACTTTCTGGTCCTGTGTACATCTGTATGAGTATTGTGCAACAGAGATCGGACACTCTTCTTCGCTGCATCGGCATGCATTTGATAGAATTGCTGTAAGATACAGTGAAACGATTAGAATCGACACAAGCTACGGATAAGCACGTTATTTACGCGTTCACCTAATTAATGATGCTTTAAGTAAACTAAAATCTAGTCGAGGATTTTGCTAGGAGTGAGCGTGGTACGGATTGGGCCAGCACCTAACTCAGGGACCAGCTTGCACATAGTTGGGCTTCAATTTTTAGAACCAGGTACTTACTTTGTTGACCTTAGGACTGAGGACTGGATCGACTCTGTGGTCCTTAGTTTATTTTAATTTTTGCATCTATTGAAATGACAAAAGTATTCTTTAAAATTTTTGAGTTGATGAAATTAGAAAAAAAAAAAGCACTTATACTTTACTACTTAACAATTAATAATATGTGGCATTTTTCATTTTTGAATGAGTTTTTAACTCTGCTAGAGTTAGAGCTGCTGAGATTGTCAAATTCATTTGTGTGAGTTGAATTAAGATCCTATAATGTCATATGATTATATCCACAAATTTATCTTCTTTGTTTCAAGCATGAGAAGGGAGATTATGATATTACAGTTTTTGTTATTGTTTTTTTAAATATTAAGATGTCTGTTGGTATTCATGTTGAGGTATTAAACATTAACAAAAAGAAATTGTTACTGTGATTGTCAACAAAATGCAAAATGAATGAATGTGGCCATTCAAGTTAAGATTATCGGCCTTTGTTTTTCTTAGAACTGAGTATGGAGGTACTTACCTTTGAGATGCAATTGTTGATTGTGAACAATAATTAATCTAACTTGCTAAGATCTTGGAGTCTCGTTGCTGATGATTGGCACCGGTGAAGATAAGCAAGCAGGGACAGAAAGGGAGAGAGTTGTTGCAATAGAGAGAGAGAGACATTAAGAGGTCGAGAAGATTATGAGATTGAGGGAGAGAGAGAGAGACTCGGAGAGAGGGAGAGGAAGAGGGCGAAAGAAGAGGAGGGGCTTGGCACTTTAGATTATATATCTAGGGTTTGGAAAATTAAAATTTACAAGGTTGGTCCAACCTTAGGATCAATGACTAACCTGCACGGTACAGATCTAGTGGCCCTAGGACCGTAGACTGACCTAGTCCTCTTGGAAACCAAACCAAGATCGGTCGGGTTGGGTCGGTCCAGGATCAACTCTGAACCGATGCCCACTCCTAGATATTGCATGTTTTTCATATGTTCATACCATGTGCTAAGCACGTCTTTTGCATGGTGAATGCCCATCTGCATCACATGCGAAGAGGCAAATTTTTAATACGTGAGAACCAACAGAGACAACGAACTAGACCTATCGCTGGCTATGTCCAAATGCAGCTTTCTATTTGGCAAGCATCGTTTGTCGGACCCGCATCACGCGAATGGTTAAACAGTTGAGTGCACGCAGGTTGGGAATTCAGTTGCAACCATTTTTGTCAGCCTTCTTTGATCGGGAGTCATTGCTTCAGCCCAATTTTGCTTTTCTCCGTCGCTTTCGACATCGACTTCTTCACTTTCCCTTGTTACGTCGAGTTTCGTAGACCATAATCAAGCGGAAGGAATGAATTGAAAGACTCACCCAACCATAAAAGCCCATCAATGATGACCGATTGTAGGACCCAGAAGAGAGCTTTAAGCAGGAAGGCTACGAAATTCTGCAGCAAGTGGAGGCTGAAGGAATTTATAAAGTATAGGAAATGACCCTTTTAAGCAGGCAAATCGACTTCTTGAAGTGGAAGAGAAGTTGAACGAGGTTCCGAAAGCATTTTTCAGAGACCAACGTCTTCTTCCTTGCACGATACATCCTCCGAAGGTTCTCTTAAAGTGTCCTTTTCTTTTGCCTTGTCTTTAATTTAATACATAAACAGAATACGCTTCTTGTCTCTAAGCACTATCCTCTCAGCAGTTCAGCGCCCACCATATATATCACTTCTCATTGAAACAGTTCGACTCAATCGTCGTTCATTCTTGACACGACGATGGGAAACTGCATCACTCTCTCGTGGACGGCGAATTCCAGGAGAAAAGGCGCTTCTCCCATCGAGACCGCTTTCAAGCTTCCTTCGCCATTGCCCACTTGGCCACCTGGTAAATTTTCTTCTTCCATTATTACTATCAGACATTTTTCTGCTCACAACATAAGTGTAAACGTGGACATATAGATAAAACGGTTTGTTAATTCATACTTGCTTGAGCAGGCACAGGTTTTGCACTTGGTACTATTGACCTAGGAGGACTAGTGGTGTCCCGAGTATCATCTCTGAACAAAGTTTGGGCTGCTCATGAGGGAGGACCGGACAATGTCGGGGCGACATTCTTCGAACCATCAAAACTACCGCAGGGATTCGTCATGCTTGCTTGTTATGGACAAGCTAACAACAAGCCTCTTAATGGATGGGTTCTTGCTGGGAAGGATGGGTCAGGTGGGGCTCTTCAAAAGCCAATAGATTATACTCTGGTTTGGAGTAGCGAGCCCTTGAAAATCAAGCAAGACGGGAATGGCTACATCTGGCTTCCCGTGGCCCCCGAAGGTTATAAAGCCGTGGGACATGTGGTTACAAGCTCGCCAGAGAAGCCACCCCTTGACAAAATCCGATGCGTTCGATTGGACTTCACCGACCAGTGCGAGACAGATTCGTGGATTTGGTGGCCTGACAAGTCGAGCGACACAAAGGGTTTCAATGTGTACAGCTTGAGACCAAAAAATAGAGGAACACAAGCTTTGGGCGTATCTGTTGGTACTTTCATTGCCCAAAATGGTGCGGATGATTCCCCTCTTGCCCTATCATGTTTGAAGAACAATAAGCCCAATTATACATCCTCCATGCCTAACGTTAGCCAAATCCAGGCAATATTTCAAGCTTACGCTCCGTTTGTGTACTTCCATCCCGACGAAACCTACTTGCCATCTTCAGTCATCTGGTTTTTCGGCAATGGGGCGCTGTTATACAAAAAGGGAGACGAGTCTAACCCTGTTGCTGTTGAACCCAACGGTTCAAACCTCCCACAAGGCGGCTCAAACGACGGTGCCTACTGGCTGGACCTCCCAAAGGACCAACCAGCCAAAGAGAGAGTAAAGAAAGGAGACTTACAGAGCTTCCAAGCTTATGCACATGTTAAACCGATGTACGGTGCGACGTTCACAGACATAGTGCTATGGCTGTTCTACCCTTTCAACGGCCCGGCTAGGGCAAAGCTTGAGTTGATCACTGTCCCATTAGGGAAGATAGGTGAACATGTCGGTGACTGGGAGCATGTGACCTTGAGGATCAGCAATTTCACTGGTGAGCTGTGGGAGGTCTATTTCTCACAGCACAGCAATGGAACTTGGGTCAATGCTTCCGAGCTGGAATTCCAGAGCGGGAACAGATTTGTGGCCTATTCTTCCTTGAACGGTCATGCTTCGTACCCAAAGTCGGGGCTGGTTTTACAGGGCAGTGGAGGAATCGGAATCAGGAATGATACTGCCAAAAGCAAAACGGTCGTGGACACAGGAGTTGCGCATTCTCTAATTGCTGCTGATTATCCAAGCGCATCTATAAGTTCACCTCCATGGGTCAACTATCTAAGGGAATGGGGTCCTAAGATTGCTTATGATACTGCAGAGGAGTTAAAGAAGGTGGAGCAAGTATTGCCTGGAAAGCTTAAATCGGCATTTGATAGTTTAGTGAAGAGTCTGCCGAGTGAGGTGTTAGGGGAGGAAGGGCCTACAGGTCCTAAAGCTAAGAGCAACTGGAGTGGCGATGAAGTTTGAGGATTAACCCGACTGCAGCTTACATAGAAAGGATTAAGGCAGACACAGAAGTTGTTTATGACTGATTTCTGCAGAAATTACACGTTTTAGTGCACATATTGTTCTTATCCAGTTAATGCCTGTGGCCCCCCTCGAGTTATTCATCCATTTGTTCATAGACTGTAAGCTACTTTAGCACAATGGCTTGACTTCAGAATCAATACCATCGAAAGAAAGTTTCCAATTCAACAGAAATACATTATACAGACATTTAAATGAGATTCGGTTCCCCAGGAAACTGGAATTCACTTGAGAATTTGACAACACTATGTAGGTTCTAATTGAAGAAAAAGTGCTCATCAACTAACAAAAAAATATGATTAGAAAAAACACAAAGAAAAAACTTCCAGTAACTAATCCAACACAAGTCAGTTACTTTCTAATCATGTGTAACTATCGTATGAAAAAAGGTCAGCATCCTTCGAAATCCCAGAGCCACTTTAAACCACATCTCTAGCGAGAGGGTGCCAGGAAGAAGGCCAAGGTATGTGTATATCCGCCACCGAAACTGCACTGAGTATTATGGCTGACAAAGGGCCAGCAATAACAGATGTGAAAGGGATGATTTAACGAGTGCTAAAAACTGCCCAAAAAGAGAAACACGAATGCTTATCTTCTTGCTCTGTTTTCGAACCTAATCTTGGATAATGTGAGAGCCACTCTAAATATCCCGATTGAGATCATTCCCGTTTGTTATTAGATGTCAGAAGGCCCATTTGTCGTGTGAGCGTGTGAGCTGATCCATATGCTGAGCTTTTTCCCATCCATTCTCCATTGGCTGCACATCATCTGTCGATTTACCTTCTGTTAAAGTTGATTCAATCTCCCCAAGCACCGGGCTTTGTACGAGAAGATCGTCCCAAAAGGAAGAATTCTCCAACAAAGCATCAATGTCAGGATCAGGAGAGAGATCATCAATATCTACCGATATTGATGCATTCAATGAAACCGGATCCATGAAAGCACCGGTTCCCGAATCAGTTTCCGCTTTACCCTCACCAGCAGTATCTGGAATCCTATCTTGCATCATATCTGGCAATGGAGAGAGCCCAGGGAAAATCACATCTTCCTTACCAATCAAGAGAGCCTGACAATCTCCTATTCCACCAGGCAAACTCACAGCAGGAATCTCACCTAGAGTCACCCGTTGAGATCGGGCAGTTTCAGGGGACATTTGCACTTCAGATATGGTAGCTGGGGGGGGCCTGTCACTGAAGACACCTGATGGTATAGGCGTGTATGATAAATGCTCCGAAGTCTGTGGTACCTCCTGCAGAGTTGCTCCAAATATGTGACTTAAAGAACTCCCGCTGTTCAATAAAGATAAACCATCACTGATTGGGAAACTGTCTGATGTTTATTGCAAGATTTTACATGAGGAGAAGCATCCAGTCCCATGATCTGCCGTAGCATAACCTTAGTTGCCTCGTTCATCGGAGGGCGATATCTAACAATCTGCCCATCTGAAGCAACGGTATCCTCATTCTCAGACACATCATCCTGCTTAAGCCTTCGCTTTTTGTTGCCTTCGGTTATTCGTCTGTTGTTCTCATTCTGCTGTTGTACAAACTGAGCCAAAAATCAGGGGCTCTGAACAGCCTTTGCCAGGAAGGACATCATCTGCTGCTGCCGCAACTCCATCCCATTAAGGCATTTGACCATCGCTTGTAATTGCTTCTCGGTAGCCTGCTGTTGTTGCCTCAACCTTACAATCTCCTGCATAAACACATTCTTGTCTCTTTTGAGCCTCTCAACCTCTTCCTCAAGCCCGAATTTTCCAACCTCCACACAAGCACTGCCCGATTTACTGTGTGATTGCTGTGTCAGCCGATGACCGTGTCCATGAGCAGGTTTTCGCCTATTTATAATCCTAAGCAGGTGTTTCTGACCTCTCAGAAAGCCTCATTGGCAAACTCCCACCGATCTGGATTGACTTTTCTGAAACCCTGTTTCACAGACGCAGCAGAGTACTAAAGCTGCACTAGTTGGGGATGAAGCAATGATAAAAAAAAGCATTTCCAAAAATATGAAGGAAACCGATATCTGAATTAATAGGTTGCATGCAAAAGACATACCGAGGCAATATAGTGTCGTGGTACACAAGGCCCAAAATTATGGGGACTCTAGGGAGTGCACACCGTACATACTTGTATGCTTTCGGAAAGCAATTTTTGTGACTCAAAAACTGAAACCTCCAGGTCATAGTGAACCAACCTCACCATAGAACCAATACTTGGAGGGAAAAAGGGGTGAAAACAGACAACAAGTGATTAAGCGCACAACAAGAGATTGTGAAACATTTAAGCATCACGCCGAAATACGCGGAAAATAACCCGAAATAATAGATCCTCGTATTGAACTTCTGATTTGCTCACAGCGGCAATATCACATATCCCTCTCGAGAAGGGAAAAGCAAAAGGCATGTCCAGGATTTATGCTGCACGTAGGTTAGTAACGAATCAAGAAGCCTAACTTAACAACCTTAAACTTAGGTTGAAGGAACAAGTTCTTGATCTCTTTACTTTCCAACTAATCAACCTTCGGCTCCATTTGTTTGCTGAGAAAAGCGGAGAGAAGAATTAGCAAATATGCATGTCCCGATACAGTTCGTCGACTTCCCACTTACAAATTTCTCCCATCAATTCATCAAAGACCGCGTCTACAAACACAAGAAACAGAAAAATGCCATACTCCTAGATTGCTCTCACCGCTGTCAACAAAAACATGACCACCAAGACACACCAGGAAATGCTTAATAAGCAAAATGGACAACACAGAGAAATGTTCATAGTTCTTAGCTAACCACACACGCAGACAAAACCAAACAAAAGATCCTCTTTCAACACTCCAGACCCAACCCATCCTACGAGAACCAAATTTTGGGGGAAAGAAAGGAAAGAAGCAAACTTCACGAAAACCCAGAACAAGAAATCGAGGCAAGTGCGTACATAAGTGTTGAGCTGCCTGACGAAGCTGGAGAAGTTGCTGTGCTTAAAGAGCTTCGGCACGACCGGGTCCGTCGCCGGGTCGTCCACAATCTCGTACGTCTTGCTAAGGAACGGCGGTGTCGCGCCGTTGCGGAGATCATTCATCGGAGCCGGAGGCGGCCCCTTCCCCCGCTGAGCGTCTCCGACGCCGTCGTTAGCAGCGCCGATTTCCACACACACACACACACAGAGTCTAGTGCTCAAGGGGAGGGAGGCAGCGATGGGGACATGTGAGGGTGGCAGTCAAAGGCCGAACTTTGATCGCCGAGAGAAGAAGGCGAAGAAGGCGAAGAAGAAGAAGAAGAAGAAGCAGAGGAGGAACGATTTCGTTCGCGAGGAGGAGGAAACCAACCAGGACGTTGGAAAAGGCACGAAGCGGTCGAACCTCGGCGAACGGAAAGGGCCACGGTGGACGATAAAGTATTTTTTACTTTTCTGAACAAAAGGAAAAGCATTTTTACTTTCAGCCCAACGTCCAAATCTATTGGTAAATTCCAACTTGCCCCCAACATTCTGTACTTTTTTGCAATCTGTCCCACTTCCAAATTTCCATCACAGAGAGGAAAAAAACTAGGGGTGAGCATAGTTCCAGGATAGAATTTGAAACCGGAGAACCAGACCGATGGGAACTGTCTAGTTCCGAGTTCCGCGTTCCAAGACATGCAGGAGTTTTCGGGTTCAAAAAATTGGGAAACTTATTTTAACGGTTAGGTTCCAGTTCTAGATAGGTGGAACCCGAAATAAGTTTTTGTATTTTTCTTAATCTATGTCTTCGCGTGATCTTATGGTATCCCATGATATCCGTTGACGAGTGTATAATCTGAAACAACTAGTTTGAACTTTCATTTTATAACTGAGATTTTTGTTTTATTAATGTTTCATATCCTTCGCGTGTCTAAATATAAGTTATGGTCAATGGATTATAGCGGCAAGTGGTGATCATTAAAGGTAATGATTCACTACAATCGTTCAATTAATAATATAGGTAGAACTTAGGTAGACCTTGGAACTGACCCTGAAACCTGTGACAATGTAAGTTCCAAGTTTTATGGTATGTAGGGTAGGTTCCAACTTCCAAAAAATGATGAAAGTAGAACCCGTACGGAACCTATAACCACTCACCCCTAGAAAAGAAAACCCCAAGCCATTCGCCCCAATTCGACTTGTCCTAGTTTAAATGGTGACGACGGACCCGTCCAAAGTCATCAAAGCCACATAGGGTACCAGTCAAAGCACGGCGACATCGAGGTTTCGCTTGGCCTAAAAAATGATCACTCATATCGCTCGAAATAATTAACCAATGATAACTATTTTTCATTATCGATATTGATTTATATCTACACATTTTTGCAGACGACGAAAATTTTATTCGTTCATTCAATTTTAGGAAAATATTTTCTAAATCATTTATTTTTCGCGAAATAAATAAAGTCCGTGAGTAAAATAAGAATCACAACTTCTAATGAAATGAAAAATCAATTACAAATGAAAAGGTAGACGTACAAGTAATTGATTTTCTATTTAGTATGATTTTTAATATTTTTTTAAATCTTGCGATTCTCAAACATTTCAAAATGCGCACATATCCAAAACAAACGTGCCTTCGACAATTACTATTAGAAACACAGGGGCGCTATTGAGAAAAGGCTAAAACTACGGGGGGCAAAATTGAAAATTCCCCACATATATAAGTATCGCGCCCAGTTGCTTTCGGGGGGCGGCGAATTTGGGCGCGAAATCAGTGCGCGCGCGAGCGAGGGAGATGAGCTCGACGGCGACGGCGGCGGCGGAGGAGGCGGCGGACCTCCTCTGCCACCTCGACAACGTCCAAGGCATCGTCGACGCCCTCTCCTCCGTCCGCTGGAAGCGCCACCAGGTCTCTCTTTCCTCGACTTCTCTCTCCGATCAACGCCATCCCCTTCTTTCTAACCGGCGCTTCACCGTTTCGAACCCCACAAAGCTCGAGCTTAGGGTTTTCTCTTTCGCCCCGTTACTTGCCGGTATGTCTGGCGCAATTTTGGGGGGTTCCTGTTGACGATTTGTGTTTTTGATTTGATGTTCCGATCAGGACGCGGTCGTCGAGGTGTCAGAGCACGGCATTGTTCTGATCGTCGAGGAGAGCGGTTGCCTACAAGCCAAGGTTTACCTGCAGCGCGAGGTATCTTTGCTCTCTACGCTCGCTGTTTAGTATCATGCGTAGTTCGGAATTGATCTCTGAAACAAGCCGAGCACTTGCTAAGCTATAGTTGATTTGCTTTGGAAATGCGAAATTGCCCTGTTTTTCGCCCCTTTTGGCATGTCCACTTATTGCTGTGAAGAGTGAGTTACCGTTTCTTGCTCGCTTCCGACCTCTTAAAAGCACCGATTCTCGGCAAATGGCAGTAGCTTGACGTGTGCCCGACGTGCTTGGTAGTGAATGGCTAGATGCTTCTGAAGAACATTTCATCGATTGCATGGCGTTCAGAATCTTATATTTGGCGTGGTTTTGTATGCATCTGTTTCCTTCTGCACCAAACATGGGTAAGGTTATCGTTTCCGCATGGATTGATATCTTTCATCGCTCTCCTCCTGTGCGTAGCTGTTTATCCGCTATGATTATAGCGCGCAAGGGCGGCCTCGGTTCGGTGTGGGTTTGGGCCTCTTTGTCGACTGCTTGAGCACGTTCTCGGTTCCCGGGCATTCCAACACTATCGAGATCCGTTATCCAGGGCCTGACATGCAGCTTCTCCTCAAGTATGTAATACTTTTTGTATCTCCCTATCCTGAATGGGGTTTAGTTTGGATGGATGATTAGTGCTATTCAAGGGCAGAGCTTTACTAGACACTCAGTTATCTAGGCTTGTCAGTGAGCGAGGAGGGGCTTAGAAATGAGGTCCAGGAGCTGATCATTTTTCCCTTCTCTTTTTCTAGATAAATGAGAGCCTTATTGGTTGTCCAGTAGAGGCATGGATAGGCAGGAAGTGATGACAATATGAATGCATCTGTGCCTTTCTTATCACTCTCTTGTTCCCACATCAATATTATCACTCTTGCAGCCATTTTACATGCCATATTCTTTTCCAGGTCTAGTAGAAGGATGAGAATTGGATTTAACATCTGATTTTATGGATCTGATTAGTTAATTATTGAGATAAAACCCCGGCACCTATTGTATCTTTGATGTAATGTTAGGTCTATTGATTCGCTCGACGCTTGCATTTATGCTGAGATCAGGACAAGGATACCTGACACAGTTTCATGGGACTATGACTTTGAACCTGCAGGAAGTTCACCACTCAGTTTCACCGTTAAGGTATCATCTCCTATGCGTTTATCACCACCAACCCGCCCCCCTCCCCCTCTTGCCTCCTTCCAAAGTAATTCATTTATGTCCTCACCATGCTCCATCTCTGAATTACATTTTTGCTAATGCCTATTTTGGAACCTGTTATTTTAAGCATTCAACAGTAGGTTTCATTCCGTGTTTTTCTGATGAACGATTCGTTGGAGAGAAATGACGAGGTTTTCCTAGTGGTGTCAAGGATATGGTTATCTAAATACAATATGTGAAGTTTCTCGATAGGCAATAGTGAGTTCTGGAATGTCATTGCTGTCAAAATAATTGAAATATTGAAATTAGAGGATTTCTATCTGCAGTCTGCAGCATTGAAAGAAGCCATTGATGATCTCGAATGGCCAGGGTCAAGTGTCAAAATCTCTTTACAACCAGCACCTCCTTCTGTTATGTTCAAAGGCGAAGGACATGGAGATTTGCAGGTGCAGTATGGGTTAATGTATGAGAAGGCTAGTTTTGAATGACTAACAGTGCTTGCACACACTCTTACCGAGTACCATGTCCTGCAGATAGAGTTCATGTATTATGCAAATACAGATCTCCTGATTGCATTCCACTGCGACCATGCAGTGTCCCACAGGTCTAATATTTATTCTGCACAACATTTTAAGTACTCAGACGAATTTCTTGCTATCTTCACTTTCTCGCTTCTAATAGCATCCATATATCATGACAAATGCATGTATAGGTATAAGTACAAGTTTCTCCGTGCAACGACTTCAAATTTACCAAGCAATGTCACTAAAGATAACAGAGGAAGCAAGTTGACCATTGGGAGAGGTGGAATGTTGAAAGTTCAGCACTTAGTTTCGGTTGCAAGATCTTCTGCTACGCACCAACACAACGCTTCTGGTTATCAGCAACCCAGTCGAATCGCTTATGTCGAGTTCTTTGTGAAACCAGAGGTCGATGGGGATGATGCGTAGGGCTTCTCTGACTACATTAAAACCAGAGGAAGATCACCAATGATTCGTATGCCTCTCCAAAGCAAATTTAATTAAGCTATACATCGGTATCTGTTCACACCATGGTTTTTCTGTCTGTTCAGTAAAAGCAGTTAGCCCTGCATTTTGATCCATTAGATTCAAAGGGGCCAGTTCATCACATCCTGGGACTAAATTGTTCATTTCCGCCCTTCTCTGGGTAGGAGTGGAGGCACAAGGATAGGCTCATGTGTGGTTGCTGAAAATGATGGCCAGTGTTTATACGAGCGAAAGGATCACAGTAGAAGATACATCCTTTCCTAGTTCCGGCCCTGCTAAAGGTGCGACTTGCACATGGTATTGGGTGTGTCCAAGTTCGTGCAACATCCACTGTATTTTTTGTCTGATTTGCATATAAGGAATTTGGTTTGCTATGGAATATTCTGGTTGAGTTGAGTTATTCGGCCTGATTTGAAATATTGACATCGTGAGTTGAGGTATTCTGAGAGGGGTCGCCGGCCATCGCCCGTAGGCCGTGGACCACTCCTCCTCTCGACCCCTCTCTCTATCTTTTCTTTTCACTTTTTTTTTTCTGTCGTGCCATCCCTGTGGAGCCACGTCAATGCCACGTTTTTACCAAAAAAACAGAAATAAAAGAAAAATGACAACAAAACTGCCATATAAATTTTCCATCTACGTGGCTATCGGAAGGACTCAAATAATAAATGGTAACCAGCTTTAGGTCACCATCCCATATAATTTTGCCTTCCTAGTTCTGTCAATTACAATTAAATTCGGTGATTGGTGATCACGCAGTGAGATGTAGGCAATTTTCAGACGAGGGAATTCCGTAAATTACCAGTAACACGCCTAACACCCATAACCTGTAATGCATATAGCCGCTCGACATCGAGATTAAGCTTGAGCCGCATTGAGGCAGCATTCCTAGAACAATCCGTTAGCTACTCGATGGCTTCTCTCCTTATCATCCGAACTGTTCCCAATCCGTAGCAATGTCAAGTTTCGTTGACAATGCGGCCGTTACCTCCTCCTCATCTCCTGTCAGCTGCAGTCATCGCCAATGGATCTTTTGGTGTCTGAAAGACCCTCAAGAGAACAGAACAATGACAGCGACCATGATAGATACCGCGACGGATGATAAGCAATCTGCCTTAACACGTCTTGCCCGGTGTGGCCTCAAGGTATTCCTGATGACATAGATGCTTATAATATTATTCTATTCTCTGTTCTAGAATATAGGCAATTTGTGCAGGGTTGCAATTGATTCCTTTCTAGCGATCCAAGTTGTGCTGTGTAAAAGGGACCTCTAGCTTCGACGTGACTGAAGCTCCCATTAGTGAGGAAGCTCTAGATATCATATTGACTCGCCACCTTGCATCGAATCTTTTCATTTCCTCAACAAATGACAGATATCTAACATTGGAACCTCACTAGAAAGTACAAATAGTGCAATTATCCCTAGAAAAATGTTAAAAGAGGTACTTCAACTAGCATTATTCTTATCCATCATCCGTGTGTCCACAATCATCACCATGGAGTCAACATGCATCAACAAAACCTGCTTACCTGCAAGAGTAAAGTGTTGCCAAATTATCAGCCTGAGCAACTAGGAAGTTGAACAGGTCTGTCCACCAGAACACAATGCTGAAACCATAAACAAAAACTACTGTACGTCTTGGAAAACTCGAGACAAGTGTCAAGTTTGTCACCCGCAGGTGTGGCCGGTTTCCTCTACCATTCAGTGTAACATCATGACCAGAATTCCAAAACACATCTTTACTCAGCCATACAAGGAAAAGACATTACAAATGTGTCGTGAGTCAAAGAATCTTGTGGGGCTTCCACAAAACAATCTACCATGTGAATCAATGTCAAATTCATTTACGTGCATCCTCCATTGGTATCTCTCTCAGAAAAGTTCTAGTCGGAACCCTAAAATAACACGAAGGCTAAGACATAAGCACAAAGGTGTTCCGAGGATTGACTTAAAGCATGAGTTATGAGCAGATACTAAACAAGCAGTCATTCTTAACCATTCATACATGCTTTCACAAAGTCTCTAATTGAGATATCATTAAATCGATTTCCTATGGTGTGAAGTCTTATTTTGCCCAATATTTTCCCTTTGAGAAACTCTAATTCTTTTTGACAAAGAGCTTGAATAGTATTTCTCTATATTCAAGCTCTTTTCTCGACAATCTAGTATTCCTAATAAAGTGAACTCTTCTATAGCGTGAAACTAAACTTCTCTGGACATGCTGCTAGATTCTAACCAAACCATGCCCAGCCATCCGAACAATAACAATCAGATGACGTGTACAAACATCCAGTGAACTGTAACGTCAACTGTGTCGACTTTCATACCTAAAGCATCATTGGACGATCAAGTCCACCATTTTGGACTTAACACTGAGCATAGTTGCCTGTTCATGCTCAATATGAGTTGAGAGAAATTAAGGCGGCATGTTGTGATCATACCATCCAATCATCCAATATGATGCAGTTAGCCTATGGTACCATCTTATCTAATGCAGAATGAGCATTCCAGCAGCATAAATTCATTCTACTGCATTTATTGGGTAGCGATCCTAGGAAAATAATGGTAGTCACTCCAGAAGATACAGAACAACCCAATGGCTCTGTCAATTTTAACTATCCTAATTCCATAAACGGCAACAGTATATCAATTTTGGAAACCAGTCAATGATATTTGAAAATAAGAGAGATAATCCGCTTCTGTACAACAGATAATTCCACCTTATGCTTTCTTAGTATGGAAGCAACGACCAAATCATGCAACCGCTTGCACCATTCCATCGATAAATACCCCATATCCAATCAATAGCTAAAGCAATCAGTGGTCATAGCATTCTCCAGTGTCCTTAATTGGATATTTAGTGACAAAAAGAAGCAGATAGTACAAAGTGCATTTAAAGAAGACGGCAAGTCAGATATAACGCATACGAGGCACAAAGTTAACAAAATGCCATGTCAAACGCAAGAGGTTTAGAAAATCCAGCAACTTTACACTGCGTAATTTAAATCTTTCCTTTCAATGATGCAAAGGACGCAAAAGGAGATATCCTCGGCTAGCTCTTACTGCTTGGGGGCATAATTATCATCACAGCAATTATAACATCGACAAATATCGAAACCCATTAGAAGAATTAATAAGCACGCTATCCAAGTTGAGAAGCAAAACGTAACCAACTTTGCTTCAAGAATATCAATGAAACTAGAAATACAGATCATTGACGGAAAAGCAAAATCCATTGGTCAGCCAAAAGATGAAAAGAGCACAACCAGTTCTGTGCAAAAAAAAACTCCAAATAGAACTTTTCCCTAAAATCTCAAAGTATCTTAAGACTACCTATCTGCAGAGAAACATTGATGGAATATACATGATTAACAGAGAACGCACTTTTGATCGTCAAGAAGCTTGAACTAGAAGTCAAGATACGGCTACTTATTCACCGCTGTCCAAAAGCCGTCTAAAAGGCCACGAACAACTTCAGTCACCAATCAGCAAAGGGTTTCCCAAAGTGGACCTGTATCGAGCAACACAAATCCACCAAAGCAACGAACAAGGAGTACACAGTTCAGGGGTTTTCTACGCACTGTGCCAGGCTTGAATGAGGCAAAACTGGAAGGCCACCATCATCCCCATCACTACCGCTAGTATTACTCACAGCTTTCCTCACCTCCTTGTCACAACTCTGCACGGTTCGAATATCAAAGCTCACTCTTCTCAGAGCCATCCTCTTTGCCAGAGCACTTCGCCAGATCCTTCCCCAACTTTTCGGCTAAATCGCAGAAAAAATCAGTCAAAACGGGCTCGTAATTGGGCATCTTCGCATATCCAGGGAAATAGTTAATGTCAATAACCAAGTATCGGTGTCCATTTCTGGCATCCCTTATCACGTCGAAGTTAAACAAGTTCAACTTCATGGCCCGCCTCAAACCCTTTGCGATCTCCGTCATAAAACTCTGAGGAGGCATCTCGGTGTCCTCCAAATGCATCAACCTATAATACTTATCGTCATTCTTTTCATGCGTTGTCAAATTGGACACCTGCGAGAACGACAAACACCCCTCGAGAGACCCCAGCTTCTCCTCCGAAACATCAGGCAAGGACTTGCGCTTCACGCATTTCACATACTCGCCCACAACATAAACTTTGAATATGACCCCACCATGATTCACAAACTCCTGCAGCACGATAGGCGGTTTGAGCTTGTTAAGCCCGTCGTGGTTAAACACGAGCGCCATTTTGTGCGATTTGGCGCTTCCGTCGGCGACCAAGGGTTTCGCAATCACCGGGAACTTCAGCGACGCCCACGCATCCATATCGAACAGCGTCTCCTTGTCGTAAATCACAATCTGGTTCGGGATACCGAACGATTCGCCCTCGCTCTCCACCCGGAGCTCCGAAACGACCTGGAGCATGGAAATGCGGTTGTGGAGGCGCTCGATCGCGTCCGGCGAATCCAAGACCACCGCATTAGGGTTCCCGGCCGTGAACTCCTCCAGTTGGCGCCGCCAGTCCTCGCCGTACAGCTTGTGGAGGACGCAGTCGAAGGGCCCCTGGTCGACGAGCGGCCGCCCTGCGTCGATCCTCACGAGATCGACCCCGCGGGACGCGGCGAGCGCGACGAGGGAATCCTGGATGAAGCTCTCCCGCTTCTTCGGCAGGAGCGCGTAGCCCACGCGAAACCTGCTCTCCGCCATGGCCGAATCCGCGCCCGTCCCTCCTCAACGCGCCAATCCTACCGACCGCAGATTCCCCGCCGCAGCTCATATACAGCGGAATTTCTCCCCCCAGGCCCCGCGATCGGAACGCAAGGAGACGAGGGGGCCCGCGCCTGGTAATGACGGCGGAGTTCGGCTAAGGGCTTCGCGGCGGCGGCGGCGGCGGATAGCTTCGGCGTCGAGGTTTTGAACTTCCCCAAGGAGTCGAAACCGAATCATGCAACAGAGATACAGAGAGAGAGCGGTCAAATGAACGAGAAGAGCACGGTATTTATAGGTTGGATCGGACCAGGGTTAAGTCGGGGGGGTGGCCTTTTGACCATGGTTAGTTAGCGCGCGCGCGGTGGTGGGAGTGGGGGAAGGGGCTAGTGGGACGGTGCGGACACGTGGCACATCCTCGAGGGCGATTGTGCGGATTCGCGCCGCAAAAAGGAAAAGGGCATCTGAAAATTGGACGGTCGTGATTGCGTTGACGAGGAGTCGTCGTCCACTTTCAGCGGCTTGATGGGGACCTCTTGCATTTTTCGCACATTCTTCTTGAAATTCGATGGTTTTCTCCCTGTTAATTCTATTAAAAGGTAAACGTTAAATCCGTGTCCCCCCGAAATTGGACTGTGCGAATTGCATTGTCACCTGAATATTCGTGTAATAATTCCTCCCGAGTGAATCGCACGAATCGAAAAATAGAAATCGAGTAGCGTAATTTCGGCTGGAAAAGCGAACAATACGAGTATAATGTAGCAAAAGGTGGAATGGGAATCTTTGCTTTGATACCAAATTTCGGAGTACAAAATCAACGTGCCGAAGTCTTGCTGGCGCCTGATCTCGACATGCTTGTGAACGACCTCCGCTTAATCGTGCGGTGGAAATCGGTGGGGCTTCGAGGGCGAGGTATGTATCGGCCCGAAAAAAGCAATTTTTCCATAATTATACGTACCGGCCGATAAAAATCGAGTATGTCATAAATATGTTTTCAGCCCATCGATTTTTTTTTGTAAAACTTATGTTCTGTATCAATAGTTGAAAGGGATTCTGTATTTGGGAACAACTTTCCCCAGTTTGGCAATTGGGTGGAGTTCCCATGACAGGCCATCATCTTCGTCGACACAAAGTCTTCCCATCCCGAACCACAAAGGTCACATCACAATCACTTGGGATCATCTTTTGCTTTCTCTGCATCTTCCCTCTGCAACTTTTAGTCAAACATCACTTTGGCTCTCCCTCTCGTATGTTCGTCAGAGAAGGCTATGAATGAAGCTGCTGTTCATGGGAGGCATCATTACCATCAACAGCAGAATTAACAGCAAAAAGACAGATTTTGAGGAATCAGTCGTGTCTATTTATATACGCTTGAGAAGTCTGCACGAGTCAGATCCGAGAAGTTACTGTCACCTTACCATAATTTACCATCGTTGTTGCTTCACCAAGAGTGGGCAAGCTTGACGCGAAGTCAGAATGGGGACGGTACTGTATAAGTGGAGGGGTAGCTTTCCATGTGAAAATGGTGGGAATCTTCTCTCGTTTCTGAGGTGATTCTGCAATGGCCGGATAGATGAGCGATGGCGAGAGATGCTCCTTCTTTTTGGTCATACATGGTGGTGGGGTTGCGTTGCCTCTGCCAGCTTCTTCGTAGGAACCACGATGAGCATCTCCATGAAGAAAACGTTCTCATTCTTCGGTACGCACGTCGGTCGACGAGACCTGTATCTTTCAAGTACGCATGCTATCTGAGCTCAGCTCGTGAACTCGAGCCGATGATTTCGAAGCGGTGAGATCCACATCAAATCACGGATGGGTTACTTAAAGTTGATTCCATCCGCCGCATTGTCTTCCCTGCAGAGAGCCCACGGACGCCGGTCGCGGCGCATCTGTCGGGCGGGTATCCTGTACCGACTTTCGCGTGGTCCAGCGCACGGACTGGTCATCACCGGATCATTTCCGTAACGTCCTCACGCCAGGCTTGTGCATAACCCGATACTATGGCCAGAAACAAGCCTCACCATCAATCCTGAGGACAAATTGCACAGCAGAGTGCCATCATCGTGAAAGCCATCTTCACTTTATTCGGCACCCCACGATGAGTAGCAGCAGCGGTTTTGTTGTCGCCGCCATTGTACAGATGGGCTGATCTTGGGGGCCTTGGGCCCATTGGGCCGCGAGATCCCAACCTACCGTGGGCCGTCCTTTCGTGGGCCTGGCGAAACTCGTCGCTTTCCACTATTGCTTTGGAGTTTCCGAGACGGCAAGTCGTCCTCTCTCTCTCTATCTCCGATCAATTTCAACATAAATGAGTAGACTCCACCTTTCTTTCCTTTTCACGTACTGTTCTCCAGTTGTCACCCACCAGCCCATTGAAAGAGAGGGCTCAAATGGGACAATCGACACAAATAGTTCGTGTCGGTCCAATGTGTAGTGTTGAATTTCTAACAGGCCAATACGGTCCTTAAACTATTGGTAAATATTCAATCTAATCTCTCATTACTGATATGACTTCTAATCTATTAAATTTGACCTATGGATAAAAAAAAATTACACGCAAATCGTTTGCATAGGACGTTCATCTCATATCAAAAAATAAAAAGAAATTATTTCCATGTGATATACTTGACTTCCCCAAGTTTTTTTTTTCCTTTTCTAAAGTCGACGAATAAAAAGATGTATATATTGACTCGTCAATTTAAAAAATCTATCTGAGCATATAATAATTGACATCATCAGATGATATATGATTGATCATTTGAGCAAACGGAATGACCTAGATTGAATATTTATCAATAATTCGAGGACTGCGTTAAACAAATTAAAAGTATGTGGATGACATTACATATTAAAGCCACAATTAAGGACCGTTCTTGTCAATTTCCCCTTGCAAATCATATCATGCACAGACCCCAGATAAGGATTTTGTGTCCCAAATTACGGTAGACACCAACTTATCTCGTGATCTTTAATTAGCTTCCGGTTTGACAAAACACCGAAGCTTGCTTTCTAAGCGATGCAATCGATTTGGCGATTACGGGAGCTTACGTGAGTTCAGGACAAGGGCGCTGTTGCTCCCAAAGATCAACGACATATTCCCTTTAAAAAATCCGAATATCCGAAAGCGAACGAATTTAAATAATAATTTTAAAAAAAGGAAGGAAAAGAAAAAAGATCCCTTACATATTTCTAATGGCCTCCACGAGGAAGACGACAGGAGCGAATTTAATAAATTAAAGATTTAGAAAAAAAAAAAAGGGGGAGACAGATTATTGACGTGGCGCAACAGAACATCTGACGGAGATGCGTTCGTTTAGGTTGGAAACAACTGGGGAGCGGTGAGGTGCACGTGACCCGGTTTTATGGTTCTCGGACGCACGGCCACGATCGTCTGATGTTTTCCTCCACATGCGGCGGCGATGCGTTCATACGGTCACGTGCAATTCGTGGCCGCACCTGTCGCTGTCCCTGATTATTGCGAAGATGCTGTTTCGAATAAATAAATAAATATATATTTTAAAATATTCGGTTTCTAATTTTTTTTCCTCCCCCTTAATTTAATATTCTGTTACGGTTGATCCGTGTCTTTCCGTATCTGAATTAATTCGATTAGATTATAAAAGAATTGCAAATTCAATCATAAATTTATTGAACAAATGCTAATCCGACTCTAAACTTTGTTAATTTTGACAATGCAGTTCTATACCCTCGTGCGAAATTTCCAATACAATCCTTCCGGTTAATTGAAGTAAAAAAAATGCAAACATGGCTCGACATGTCATTTAGGGTGGCCGACCAATAATGACCGGACGCCGTGTCAGCAATTTTCTTGATAGTAATTGGCCCGAAGAAGAACATTGGAATTTCGCACGAGGGCTTATGACCAAATTGGCAAAATCAAAAAGTTTATGACCGAATTGGGAGCACAATAAATTTTCTATCGACGTGGTAACTAACCTACCCGATTATATATCACTTTTGGCCTTATTATTATTATCAATTATCGTTGGACAAACGCCGGCCAAAAGGGGAAGTCATCGAGAACTCGTCCACGCTACGCCACGGGCAGTAGATTCATGTAATCTATATATTCCATCTCTAAAATGCTTTGCTTGTGCACCAAAATTTTTTTAAAAAAATATATATTAATTTATCGCACGAAATACTACGATGATAAGTAATCTTAAGAAATGCTAAAATACACGATAATAGCAAAGCAACATATAGTGACGTAATTAACGGATTATTTTGTTTTCTTCCGCGCCATCGCCAGCGAATATTCTTCGTCTCTCTCTCTTCCTCCCTCCTTCCCTCTCTCTCTCTCTCTCTCTCTCTCTTTCTCTCCTCGTATTTAGATCGCGAAAGCGAGAGAGAGAGAGAGGGAGGAGGTGTCCCGGAAGCAAGGACGAGGAACAGCTCTCGCGCTTTCCCATTTTCTCTCCCCTCCCCTCCCTCCCCTCCTTTCCCGGAAAAACGGAGGAAAACCGAGCGAAAACGGAGGAAAGGGAAGGAAAGCTCGAAACTTTGAGGGGGATAGGGGGGAGAGGGAGGAGGCGGCCGCCATGGACAGGAGCGACGCGAAGGAGGTGGGTGGCGGCTCGAAGTTCCCGTTGAGCTTCCGGGAGCTGGCAATGGCGTCCCTGGTCGTCGTGGGGTTCGTCCTGGGGCTCGCCGGCGTCTATCTCACCATGCCCGCCTCGGACTACAGCTTCCTCAGGTTGCCCCGCAACCTCGAAGATCTCCAGATTCTCCGGTAAAAATGTTTCTCGATCGATTTTCTTGGCAGATCTCCTGTGGGGGGGGGGGGGGTGTTTTAGGGACAATCTGGGGATATTCTTTCCCCCGTTTAGAGGTTAAATTCGTATCTCTTGATTTTGATGGGAGGTCCTTAATCTGAGTTTGCACGGTCGGTGAGATCGTGCTTTGAGCTACGTGCGCCGAGATCGAAGTAATGCGATTTGATTCCTGAGATGAGATTCTTGCGGTGCTATGTATATTCTCCATTAGGGTGTGTTTTATTTGGTGTTTCGTGGAATCTGGTCGATATTTAGGTTAAATGTTCTTTTCTCACTTATTGATGTAACCTCAAAAGACAATTTAACCAGTTTTCTGCTACCAAATTTATCGAGTTTTTCGCTCCGTTAACACCCTCAGACGTTAGTTGCCGAATTGTTCGATGAAATAGGAATGGCATTCCTTTGGTTTCCTGCCGTTTGATATCATCTTCTTGCTTTTGTAATTGGGTGTAGTGTGGGAGTGAGCCTGTAATCTTAATTTAATGCATTTTGCTTGGCTGTTAGTTTCTCCTGTTTTGATCATTGGATGTGTGGAGTTAATAATTTTGCATCCAGCAATTAGTTCATCGACGTGTCTCTTAATCTGCTTGCTTTCTAGAACTTTTGTGATTTTGCCTAATTTCCAATCACAGAAAGTTCCTTTCAGGCTTTAGAATAAAGTAGCTGGATTTGTATTATTTGTTCCCTTTGAAGTTCATTCAACTTGAGAATGTCCACCTTCAGTTCACAAGCACAAAGATACATGGCTCAAATTCTTCGGGTAGGAGACTCATGTCGTGAGTGTGTTGCCATTTTGATGTCGGTCTCATTAAGTTGGACTAGATTATCTTGAGTTTGCTAATGTGTGAGAACGAGCTTTGGCAAAAAGATTATCATTGTGAACCTCTGATTCTTAACTTGTTTGGCTATGGAGAAAAAAACAACATGCTCTTCAGTAAATAAACCTCTTCTTTATGTATCATATTTGCTCCTTGCCCGTACTTTTTCATGACCATGTCCATCCGACTCTGCCTTCCATTTTTCCCTTTGCCAAAATAGTAGTGCAATGTTAACGGGAATGAGTCTCAAGTGTTATGTGTTGGGCGTTCATTTCTGCAGAGACAATCTTGAGGGCTACACAAGTGACTATACGCTGCAGGTCCTTGTCGGCTACTGCACGGTCTACATATTCATGCAGACTTTCATGATTCCAGGAACGGTTTTCATGTCTTTACTTGCTGGAGCTCTGTTTGGTGTTTTCAAAGGTGTAGCTCTTGTCGTTTTCGCTGCCACTGCAGGAGCTTCTTCGTGCTATTTCCTATCTAAACTGATTGGACGGCCCATTATCTTCTCTCTGTGGCCTGATAAGCTGCATTTTTTCCAAGCTCAGGTTAGTTGCAAAGTCCATGCGTCTTCAATTAAAGTTATTTGGAAATTCGACCAATTTTGTTTCCTTTTCAATTCCAGGTGGCAAAGAGAAGAGAGCGGCTTTTGAACTATATGCTCTTCTTGAGGGTTACACCAACCTTGCCCAACACATTCATAAATTTCGCTTCCCCAATAGTTGATGTACCTTATCACACATTCTTTCTGGCAACAGTCATTGGACTCATACCTGCTGCTTATGTTACTGTCCGGGTACGCTTATTAACTTCCACTTTACAGTTTAAGATAAGGCCTGCAGTTTGAGGGAAAAACTATAATTGTCAACAAATAAGCTGCATAATAAGTGCCTATTAATAAATGCACATGGATATATATAGTCAAGACGCTTCAAGTGAAAAACAACAACAAGATAACCAGCTGTCTTCAAGATAAATATTCACTTTGGTCAAAAAGAGAAGAATGTTTTGCAAGACTCATAGTTTCCCTCTTTTCTCAGGCTGGGATTGCTCTGGGAGATCTGCGATCCGTTGGGGATCTCTATGATTTCCAATCAATTGCTACGCTCTTCTTCATTGGAGTCATCTCAATCACCCCCACGCTGATGGGCAAGAGCGAGAGCGAATCATAGTGATTGCTGGCTTAAGCTCCCAAGGCTAGCCGTCCGGTTCTGCCTCCACTGTACATATAACCACAATCCAAGTACAGCTGTTACTGTTTCTGTACCTTAACAAGGTTGAAATCTGCAGCCACTTGAAACAATCAGGAAAAGCATGATGCGATCTTCGACTTAGCTACAGGCAAAGAGTGATGTCCGTTTTAATGTTCGAGGGGAGGGGGTTAAAAGCTGGTTTGGTATTTCCGGCTCGGGGCCAAACTGTTTGTGTCCTTAAGTAAAGACATCTTGATCCCGTAAGGATCGTTATAATGTTCTAGACTGATGCCGGGAGATAAGGCTTACTGTTGTATATTTAATGTTAAAGTGGATGATTTGTAGCTTGTGCGTTAGATAATCTCAATCCCGCGTTTAATTTTATCGGCATTTCCCTTATCAATGACCAAATGCTAATTTAGCGGCCTGAAAAGTAGCCAACATATCATTATTACTGCATTGTCATGAGGATGCCCAAGATCTCTTGGTTACCTCGAATAGGTGCTGCAACATTTTCATTTAAATCAGCATTGATTCTTCTTTCTCTTGAACGACGTAGTGATCTGGAAGGAATAGATTCTAAAGTGCTATTGTGAGTCTGCGGTACATCATGTGATCTGATTGTTAGGTGGGCAATTACTTCTAAAACAAGGCAACCATTCGTTTAGGAGGATCAAATATCAAGCGTATGTGCAGTTTTGAGGTAACGCTCTGTTTTTGGTGGTGAGAATGGTATAGTTACACCTAGTTGGTAAAGTTAGTGGCCATCGGTTGAGATGGGTCCCCTTTAAATTGAGATGCACTAGATCGATATCTAAACAGTAAGATGCGAACGATCTATACTTTCATTCGATAATCCGCCTCTAATTCTCCTGCCGACAATGAAGCAAATACTGATGATCTTTGTTCAAAAACAGAAACTGTAAGAAGAGTGAGTCCAGCCAAACGACCGTGCTACCTACTGTAAACATAATTTTGCCAAAGAAAGAAAGAATACAAACTGTTTTACAGCTGAGAAAGGTACAACATTTTCGTTTTTTTTTTCGGTGACGACAGCATTAATTCCCAAATACCGGACCCAAGACCCGAGTAAACTAATTATTTTGGAGTAAATCAGTGCGATTTCTTGAATTTCTTCTTGTTCTTCTGATGTGAGATCTCGGGAGTCCTGCTCTCCATCTTCCGTTTCTTAGCAGTTTGGTCAGAAGAACCAATTTCATTCCTCGCATTTTGCCTCACCTTCCTCGCAGCCACTGCCGGTCTTTTCTTCCGCCTTCCTTCTGTGACCAGTTCTCTCTTCATGCTCTCCTTCTTGGGCCTCACTGTTCCTATCCCTTTTGCCTTAAATTTCTTCAGGGAGGTACCTTTGCTTGCCTGCAATCCCTGGTAAGAGGTTGAAAATTTCGTATTTGCTCTGTCAACTCCATTTGGAGTCCTCAAATCCAAAGCAAGCTTCTTTGCAGGGTGATTCGCATCAACTGCCGGTGACTGGTCAATTCTCTTAGATGGGGTCACATTTGGCTTGGCATGGGAGAGTCTTAATTCTCGATCTCGAAGCTTCATATTTCGTTTCTTGGCAACCAGATTTGCAGCATCCTACAAGGCAGAAGCACACTTTAAATGAGTGGCACTCCTACAAAGATGACAAGAGAAAACTGGGAAGAACTTGGTTGTTTTTGCATCTTCAACATTCTATTTGGGTTTCTACTCTCCATTCTCCAGTATCCAAACTCAATAAGATGGTTTCCACTACTTCAGTTGACAAAAGACTATCTGCATGGTCTTTGCAGGGAGATATGGGTCAGCTCAAAACACCCTCTTAGCGGCCATAACCTTGTTATATCTTACATATGCACATTAACGATTGACAGTGCAATACAGCATTTCTAAGGCAGAAGCACACTTTAAATGAGTGGCACTCCTACAAAGATGACAAGAGAAATCTGGGAAGAATTTGGTGGTTTTTGCATCTTCAACATTCTATTTGGGTTTCTACTCTCCATTCTCCAGCATCCAAACTCAATAAGATGGTTTCCACTACTTCAGTTGACAAAAGACTATCTGCTTGGTCTTTGCAGGGAGATATGGGTCAGCTCAAAACACTCTCTTAGCAGCCATAACCTTGTTATATCTTACATATGTACATTAACGATTGACAATGCAATACAGCATTTCTACTAGCTTTAGAGCCTGCCAAATCAATGATGCTGTCACATTAAGCTAACAACAATTGGTAGGTTATTAGGACTCCAGGATACTGGGGAATAAACAAGTTGATACTGAAACGACGGCATGTTCTTCAGAAAAAACCATTATAAGATAGTCATTGGATATAATTAGCATCATTAATCTAAGCACAAAACATTTCAAGCAAAAGACCACAAATCACGCTAGAAAAGACTAGATATAAAACCGCAGTGCATTTAAGGTATAGAAGAAAACTACAAGAAATAATAAATGGGACCCCATTTTCCCAGATGAGAGCTATATGATAATAGGCAAAAATTGGGAGACAATATCAGCCAGAAAGGAATAACACAAGAAACTTACCCTCGTCTTAAACAAGACATAAGCAATACCCTTCCCCACACTCGTATGAGGATCTCTGATGACCCGAACAGCTTCAATGCTGGACCCCAGATTGTTGATGTTAGAAAATAACCGATAGAGTTCTTCATCCTGCAGAAGATAGGAAAACGCATTCACATATCTACAGAGAAACAGCCACAGCAACCACTATTTGTGAACCTTCCCACATTCAGGCATAAGCATGAGATCATTACCTTTACATCAAATGGGAGATTACCCACAAAAACTGTCCTCTTGTTGTCATAACTCGGAGAAGTCTCTCCCTTCAATTTCTTACGAGGAGGACATGCTCTGTCAACTCGGATGTGATTTCCTCCAACCTACAATATTTTCAATGATGTAAGCAGAGTCTCTTTTTCAGGTATGTAACAAGATATTCCCAACAAGTTGACCCTTTGACCCCAATCATACTGATGATCCGTTTTTCCATCTCTCCCCCCTCCCCCCCAATTTGTTTGAAGGTAAACTTACCTCTGCCATGTTATGGGCCAAAGACGCAAGAGCCGACTCTTCTGTCTTGAAAACAACATAAGCATTAACACTGCAATAAAAGTACATTGCCATAAATATAAAAAGCTTACAGAACAATGCACCAAATTAAACAGAAGACATCCATTTGATAAGGGACTAGCTGTAATTTCAAACAAACAATGCGTAGGACAAGGAGCCATCTAGTATAGGCATCCAAGCTCTCCACATCACCGATGTAAAGATATAAGTGAGAAAGGCAGTTGATGATTTGTCATAAATAACAAGATAAAAGATGTTCACAAGATGCCACTTTATAATCAAGGACACTGACAGATAAGATTAAATGACAAAATATACTTAACATAAAATTAAGTTGAGGAGTCAATATGGTATACATACTTTGGAACGATTATAGTATACTCATAAACAGAAGAAAAGTCAAACAAAAATACTCGCAGATATTCATGATGCTATAATACCAGTCAATGGCTTCATTGATCTTCTTCTTTAATATAGCTCCCTTCCTTGGTATTTTGGTCTGGAAAAACATAGAACAGCATTCATCAGACAAAGAAAACATTCTAAGCAACATGTTAAGCATAAGGTGTCCACAAGAGCACACTCACATCCAGGATCGGAACGGACCGAATCCTTGCCGATTCTATCTCTCCAAACTTGCTAAACTCCTTCACCAAAGCCTTCTTTTTAATTTTCAGAGGCAAATTCCCAACAAATACAGTTCTCAGCAGCTTGCCCTCATCATCGTAGCCATCTTTTGAAGCCAACACATCGGCCGGGTCATCTGCTTTCTTCCTCTTCTTCCCCACAACCTTCTCTCCCACCTGACCATCTGCTTCTTCCTCTTCTGCTTCCCCATACTTCCTAGACTCATAAACCCTCTCAAGCTCATCTCTCTTCCTCTTTTTCCTCTTCTCCTCTACCTCCACATTCGATTTCTCACCTTCCTCGTTTTCATTCGCCAAGCCACGAGCTTGACTGCTCAATCTCAACTTCTTCGATTTCTCAGTCTCGGAATCAACATCTGAACCAGAACCCACCTCAGAAGCCCCTTTCTTGGACTTTCTCGATTCCTTCGGTTTCTTGTTCTCGGACAAACTCTTCTCGGGTTCTTGTTCTTGCCCTGGCTCTTCGTCTACCTTCCTCTTCTTCTTCTTCTTCTTCTCCTCCTCCTCGACCCTCGCAGACTCGCCGCCTTCATCACCGACAACAGAAGCGCCAAAGGCCTGCCCCAATTCCTGGTGCTTCCTCTTGAAGGGGTTGTCGGCGGAGAAGATGGAGCCGGCGAGGTTTTGCTCGGGAATCTCTCCGAAAATCGATTTGAAAACGTCCGACGGAGCCGAGACGGCGTCTTCCCGGAGAGGGTTTTCCGGTTCCTTGGGCTTCTTCTTCCCCATTGCTCTCGAGCCGGCGTCGGAATGACGCAGGACGCGCTGCGTCTCCGGCGCGAGGAAGGGATCTTTGGAAACCCTAGGTGCGATTTTGGAGGGAGAAGACGGGGGCAAACGTTGGAAATTTGATAAAGTTGAGGACTGTTTTGGCGAAGAAGAAAGTGTTTTTATTTCCTTTTTTATTTAATTCCAAGATGGCGACCTCATCAAATGGGCCTCTCAAGGCCCAAGCCCAAGCCCAAGCCCAAGTCTCGACTATAGCTCGTGCCTAATTTTGCTATTCAAGCTTTTGATTGTTTTCTTTGACATCTTACAAATTATAATAGGTGTTTATCTATATAATTACATATGGTGTTTAATACACATTGAATGCTTTTATATATACTTGTGGGTAAATATTTTATATTTTTGAGGTGAAAATAAATCAAGGTATATATGCATTCTCTACGTTCAAATTATGATGAATAGATCTCCATCGTGATAAAAGTTGCAAAAACACCCGCAATATGCAGTCCCCTTATGATGATCTATTGATGATCGTCACGCTAATGTGCTTGGACATCAATAACTTTCTTTGGTGAGAATTTTATAATTTATAAGAGAGAATTGAATCTAAATATCTACAACGACATGTGCAGGTTTTGATAGTATTAATCAGATATCGAGCACTCTGCAAATTTCAACTATACACGAAGCAAACCTGAGGAAGATTATAATACATGTCCGTGTCTTATGTAAAGATGTATTGTAGTTCCATGATTTGTAACTACTCGTAATTTAAATAGTTAAGGCAATTGTCGACTAATCTCATGAACAGCTTATCTTCCAAAAACTAGATGCAAATGACAATCATCTTACCATCATTCAAATATTTAAAAACTTAATATTTCTTTTTTTCCGCACTAGCATTTCCGTGTTAGCTTGTGAAAAAAAAGGAAAGAAAAGCATATTATACAGAACATTCAATTGAAAGAAAAGTCATAAAGGCACATGAAAAAACGGATCGGCAACAATTTGACATCGTTTTTGAAGCTGACTTGTCTTGTTCCGAATTCTAATGGTTGGCCTATGCTAATTAATTACGACGCGTGTCTTGATTAGCAGACCATGTTGCAACATGTTGCAAGATATATTTTTCTTTTGCCGACAATGTAATATGAAATCCAACGTTTGTCTCCCGAATCTTTCTCGATGATTAACGTTCCCATTTCTTGAAGACAAAAACAATGCTATATGTAACACGAGAAAACAAATCGTTTTAACTAGCTGACGTTAAGCTCCGCTTGAAATGATGGCCATCACATGAAAGCATCGTCCACGTATAGGGCCGTCAAATGGGTCGGTTCGATTCAAATTGATCCATTTAACCCATATTGATACAATTTTATGCAAAACAATGTTAGCAATCGGGGCTCAATACTTAGCAATTTGTTCTTTCTTAAATTATAGAATGGGTGACTAAATGAATTGGCTCGCCGAGCCAGTGAGAAAACCTTGGGTACTCGGGTCACGTCAATTGCTAGGTTTTCGCATGATGCATCAGCAACGTGGAGACATGGGTGAGCACCGTGCTGACGGACATGAACACCCACATGGACGGGTCTGGGTGTCGGGTTATGGACATGGACATGAAGTATCGCTATTTTGTTGACACGCGAGTATCGCTATCTTGTAATTTATTAACTTCTCTAGTTAATACGTAACTCTATACAACCAAGTAGCTTCAAAAGTACTGGTGATAAGTAGAGTCGTCAAATGAGCGGATCGAGCCTAGTTCGGGTCATGCGGAAAAACAAATCGATCCCATTTAATGAGTCGGATTGAATGCGGGTCGGTGAACAGGAACCTATCGCTCGTCTGGCAACCACCGAGGTGAAACGCGCTGAAGATCAACACCGATGGCTCGTACGCGTCGCGGTCGCCGATGGGTGCCATTTCATGCCTTATCCGAGATGAATCGGGGGTGTTTTGCGACGGATTGGCCAGATCTGTTCGGACGTCGTCCATTTTGCAGTTGGAAGCCCTAGCTCTTCAAGAAGGCATAAAGCGCGTGCAAGAGAGAGAAGAAGTGAAGTGTTTGAGTTTGAGTTAGACAGTCTGGAAGTAGTCAATGCCATTAACAGCTCAAATCAGCCTCCGCGGGAAGTCAACGCAATTATCTTACTGGGCCGGCTTTCTAATGTCTCTGTAGCCCATATTTATAGAGGTGCTAACCAAGCTGCAGACTGGGTGGCCGAGAGACAAAATTCTCTTTCTTTCGAGTGGGTAGCCAACCCTCCTCGAGACCTTTGGAATTTACTTTGTTTTGATGCTCCTTCGTCGAACTTTTATGGTTAAGAACTCCTTAATTCGATAAAATTAGCTTTTCCCAACCAAAAAAAAAAAACTCCTTCCCTAGAATCAATTGGCATGTGTTTATGTTTAAGTTTTGTAAGACTAAATTCAATGAAATTTTTCTCAGTTAATGAAATTGCATTTGCGTTATATTTTAGTAAAAAAGGAATTATTTTCAAAGAAAATTCTAACGTTGTAAGAAAGAAATGGTCTGATATTTTACTTTTTTTTAACTCCTTAGCTCTTGGTTTCGCTTTTTTTTTTTACTTAAATGGGGTCTTCCTTAGACCCACTTTAACCCAAATCCAGATAGGTTTCATTTTTGTAATCCATTCAGACCCATGTTTGAAAAATTCAGGAATCCATATGCCACCCGACCCATCGAAAAATGAGTTAAAAAAAAAGCGGGATTTACAACTCATGGTCACGTCATAGTTTCACCGCGTGCCAAAATATGACTTAGATCGATTCGGGCGAAGCACTGTGCTCTCAAGAGTAATTCATTTCATTCGGCGACAACCGAAGCAAAAAGCTTCATATCCTATCGTCGTAAATCAAATCCGAACAAGCCATGTTATTATTAGTTTGAAATTTACATTTTGAGGACATGGAAACCGCCACCAGATAAGGCACGAACCACAGACGACGGCAGTGATTTTGTCTTTTCGCTGTACAGCGTACAGGCTACAGACTGGAGATCATAGTCATACAATATACAGATCATGATCGGTTTAATCAGGCTCTGTTTTGCTTTTTATTCTTGTCAGGTACTAATACTTATTATGGAAGATTAAAATTCCGCAAAATCTCGGGTTTACCACCATTCGAGGGTCAGGTTCTTGCTCCGCAATCCATGTTGAAATCCATCAGCGTCTTCGTTCAAAATCCGGAAAACGTCCGCCGTCTGTCTCTGGGATTCGCCGCTAAAAAGCAGCCACCATTGCCGGCAAATTCGCAGCTTCCTCTGCATCGTCTTCTTCGTCGTCTTCCTCCTCCTCCTCCTCCGATTCCCACAAGAACCGCGCGTACGACCCCAACACCGTGCTGCATGCGCGCACCAACCAAAGATCAGATCACTAAACTTCACTGTGAATGATTCGTTATCACGAAAGCTCGAAGAAAAATTCGGGATTTATCGGTAGGGGATTACCTGTCTTCCGGTGATGCGAGAACAGCCTGGTTGAAGTAAGATTTGGCTCTGTCCTCGTCTCTCTGGGTATCCCATATCAACTTCCCGTACAGCGACAGCACTTCTCCGTCTCCAGGGCTCGCGAGTATCGCTCTCCCGTAGTACTCCTCGGCTCTCGCTGCGTCTCCCTCCACCTTTTGACAGGAAAGAAGAAGAAGAAAAAAAGAAACAGAGAGAGAATGGTTAGCGACCGTTAGATTTTTGAGGATGGAGCTCGAAAGGGGCCAGCGGGAATTGCGAATCGGCGAGATTCTTCGGTTCTCGAGTACCTCGTGCAAGTACTTGCCGTAGTTCCTCAGCAACAGAGAATCTCCGGGGCTCGACCTCAGCATCTCCCGGTAGTAAGCGCCGATCCCCCGCCGGTCCCCGTATCCGCCGCCGTAACCGTCGCCGCCGAAGTCGCTTCCGGCTCCGACGCCGCCGCCGCAGGCCCCGAGCTCCTCCAGCGGGATCCCGATCCGGGGCCACGCTCCGGAGCGCCCCACGCGGTCGGCGCCTCCGAGGGTCAGCGATCCGCATTCCTCCTCCGGGATCCTCGCCGGGAACGAGAGGGACCCGGCGCCGCTCAGCCCGCCCCGCGGCCCGACCACGTCGCTCTCGGACAGGGCGCGGCGGATGCGGCTCCCGCCCGAGGGTCCCCTGCGGCGGCTCATCTCCAGGTGGAGCGAGAACCTGGGCGGCGAGCCGGGGGGGGCGGCGAACCTGTCGACGGAGAACGAGTCTTGGCGGAGCAAGGATAGGGTCGGCGGCGAGCTCGTGAGCATCGCCGCCGGCGACGTGATGGAGCCGGTCCTTATCAGTGCAGCTTCCATGGCTTTTCGTCTCCGCTTCACTTCTTTCAGTGTGATCTTCTGGGAGAGCTTTTTGACTGCTGAGATGAGATGAGAAACTTTTGGATTTGTATAAGAACTGCAGTGTTCGGGGGGGGTGGATGGGTATATAAAGGTGACGGAGAGCCGTGCGATGGGGCGACTGGGTTGACTCCGACGGAGGGCGGAGATGGCGACACGTGTTGAGGGTGCACGTGAGGAGTTGGCTGAGCATGCCCGTGCCCGGGGCAGTCGGCGCCGGCGAACTCCGTTTAATTAATTTTAACGGGGGAGGAGTCGGAGCTGGTCGAACGGGAGCTCGACACGTGTCGAGGGGGAGGTGGGCGCGCGCGTGAAGGCGGCGACTTTTGTCTGGGATACGTGGAACATAAGACAAGAACTAAAGAATGGCCCCGTCCGCTAATCGTGCGCTTGGGCGCTTTAAACTTGGGAAGTAATTGTGCATGGAAACAACGAATCACTAGATCCCGCCAATTGTATTATTATTACTTAGTATTTAAAAAACGTACTTGATACTACTTTTAATATTAAAATGTAAATGGGTCTGGATGCATATTAAATAAATAATTGATTGGTCGCAACGCACTAACTATGTAATAGATCCATGTGATGCTTTCTTATGTCTAACTTATTTTAGTTTCAAAATATCACGAAATTCGTGCTACAAGAAAGGACTCATGCATGGAATGATTCTTTACATCTCGAGTAATCTTAATGTAGATGGGATCTCTATAAATTCAAGGTAAGAGACCATGTCCCCATAGAAAGTGCGATTGAATTTATATTATCCTAAGTTTGACGTAGTTTTGGAGTCGCATATAGAATCACATCTAATTTGATAACCGTCTAAGCGGACATAAGTGGGAAACTGAAGCACTCTCGTGTAGCTTTACAAGTTTTAGGAAGAGCAGTCGCGAGTAATTAAGAAGGAAAAGGGCAGGGCGACGGGAATTTAACTAGATTGAAGAGATTAGCAATAGACGACCGAATGATAAGGTTGCACTGCATTCCCCCTCTGTCTCGTCTGTCTGGGACGTCAACTGCAACTGCAAAGGAGATGTTGGGGGCGTGGTGGGAACCTGGAAGTCTGTTTCGGCATGTGATGCAACCTGCGAGCTTCCAATGTCCGAACTCCACGTCAGTGCTGGACATGTGAGTTCACGTGTGCTTCCTCCTCTTTCCCTCTTCTTTTTTCTTTTTCTTATATTTGTTATGATCCCTTTTCCGTGCATGCATACCCCCTACCCGAAAAAACCAGAAAGTGTCCTTTCCTAGAGTCCGACCTCTGACTCGGGAACTGGGCGGACATTGCTTGAATTGAAAAATGATCATTTATATCGCCAATAAAAATTAATAAAAAAAATATATTTTCATTTTTTATGAAAATATTTAGATTATTAAGAGCGCACAGGTAATTGAGTCCAAGTATAAGTCCGTTAATATGTCTTATTGAGCTAATAGGCATGCGGCTCTGCTAGTAAAAGGATTGGGGGACTAGGGGACTAGGGGACTGGGACGCTAATATCATAAATGTGAGGTTCAACTCCCGCGCTCTGCAAGAAGCTGGAGCAAAAGTCAAAAAGTGAGAGGAGAGTTAGAGATAAGACAAAAAAAGACATATCATATTGGACTCATATTTACTCAAAAGCTTAAACTAATGAGTTATTGACTAACTATGGTATATAAATTGCTTCACACCACACTTCTTATTCGATGTGAGATTTCTTTAAGACAATTCACACGTGCATCGTAACATTGACATTAATCATTTTTGATATTTTTCATTATCTAATTATTTTAAGCAATACAAGTGATTATTTTTATTCAAATTATTTATTTTTCGTGAAACAAACGGAGCTGAAACAAAACGAAGTGACGTGGCGAATACGACATTCTGATCGAGTTCACAAATGCTAAGGTTCCTTCTCTCCCTACCATGAGTGATAGCATCTAAAGGTGAAGTGGCTAGTATTTGGCCTTCAACAATGAAGACTCACCTTAAAAAAGGTCTTTTGAGTAATGCTAAGGACATTAAGACGAGTCCAAATTCGATTGATGTGCCGAGCTACGGGTCGATATTGGAATAAGTGAATCATATTCAACGCTCCAAAATTTATCACGTCCTTTGATATATAAAATTCGTATATTAATTTTAACGAGCGAGGCTTTATTCAACGGTATTTGCCGAGGAGATTTCTTTTGAATGCAATTACTATTCTAAAGAGTCCTTCCCATGAACAGACCTCTTGATGCTCAGTTAGCGGACAACTATGTAACAATGAATTGGAAATTTCTAAGTCATTGTCGTTTCGAAGTGGAGATAATCCATAATTTGCATGAAATAAATGAACTCGTAAATGAAATCGCAATAATTTCTTCTGTTTTAATTTAATATTCTTGAAAAATAAAAAGGCTTGTCATGCCATGCCACGCTTCAAAAGGAGGCTTGTACTTGCCCGACCGTAGGATGGATAAAACCTCATCCCAGCCTAAATTAGAGTTTAAGTTTCTGGTATTATCGCAGCACGAAGCATGCCAAGGCCTCTCAGCTTTACGTTGCTAATCACCGACCGAGAGAGAGAGAAACAATCTTACATCGTACTCGTCTTTGCCTTACTTAATACAGAAAAGAGAAATTAGTAAAATCCATTCTTCATCATCAAGCAAATCTCCTAATTTTACCCCATTAGAGCCTGCACTTCCTGTCATTTTTCATAGAAAGATCCCTCGCTTCTTTCCAGAAACGAATGGATCGCGGCGTGGGAGGACGTGATCATTAGCATAGACAAAGAGTATAAGGAAAGATTTCACTCCAAGTGGGTTATTCAGCAACTAACAACAGTTCATCTAGCTCCTAGTTAATTTGAAGATCAAAAGACTACTAAGCGACAACCTTTACCATGGGATCTGACTTCAGTACAAGGAAGCATGAGGGACATCACTGTCACTTTATGCTCGAAGAGGCTGCGGCTTTCAGATGCTTTGGAGACTCGTGAAGCAAAGATGAGCCTTCAGCCGAGGACCCAATTTCGTACGTGCCACACAGCACTCGAATCGTGAAGCCGCGATCCACCAAGCTCTCAGTGTAGTTGCATATGAGGATCCATATGGACCCCTAATGGTACGAGCACTTGCTTCGCCTCAACAAGACAAACATCAGCAAGAGGAATCGATTAGATGGCTAACCTCTTTGGCTCGTCGGACCAAATCTTATTGATTCTTTTTTGTCCTTGAAGCAGAAGAGGGAGGTCTCAAATCCTGATTTGAAGTCCTAATTATGAAAAGAAGGGTCTCCAAGAGCATTCCACATACCAATCCAAGAATTCCACCAGCAGCATTCTGGACATTACAAGTCCCTCGTAAGTAGGATAGGACACGAAGAAATTGCTTTTTAGAGAAAACACAAGCGACAAGGCAAACTGAGAACTAAGATGCATAAGAATCCATGATGGTCGGTTTTAACATACCATTACAGGACTGTGGCCGAATAATGCTCTGAATGCAGCATATCCAAGCAAATATCCAGTAAACATTGTAAGCACAACATGTAAGCCTGCGCAGAGACAAATTACCATGTTTCCGAAAGTTACGTAAGTATCGTGATGCAGATGTATGGAAAAAACTATGCAAACCATGACACACGTGCGCAGGAACAAATAACCATATTCCCCACGAATATATTGGCAACCTGCATAAGTGGCATTACTGGGTCATAAGGATAAACACTTGTGGTTTTTTACAACACACAGGCACATTCGTTCCGAAGGAGGAATTGAAAAAACACGTTGCTACTAATCAAGAAGTGTCATATGGAAAAGAGAACAAACATAGTCAACAGGAAGCAAGTGAAACGGGGTAGCTATATTGCTACATCACCGGACTGAACAGCCACCATATCTTTGAGTTCGAGGATTAATCTACTATCCCTCTGCCCCGACCCCCATTCATTCAAATCAAGAGAGATGCAGAGATGATCGTTACCAAACCCGAGTTGATCTTTGTAGGAAGAGAAGGGCTCATTGGTGTCTTTCTTGGGGGTGATGTCTTTCACAAGCTCCTCGTACTCTTTCTTTTCTGCCATCTCGGAAAGCTTCCTCAATCTCACCTTCAACTCTTCACTCTATAATTCAACCAAAAAACAGATCATCACAAAGCAAGCTATGCCCTATCAAACAAAGCCATTTATCAGCTAAAACTTAATCAAGTGCCAACACCCACATAATAAACCAACAAAAAATGCTAAAGTTCTTCACAGATTCTCCTATATCTGGTTTTATCGGCATCAGCAATCACAGATATCATTAAATAGTATCTAATCAAGGTTGCAATTAATATGCTATACACTATACAGAGCCATCGACCAGCTAAAGCATAATTGTAACTACCGATTTCACCCTCAATTCTTCAACCAATCACTCCTTTTGGAACTCCTAGCATGCAATCACAAGAAAGATCAACCTCTTCACACAATCACCCCAATTCAGCAGCTAATTTTGATCGAAATTCTAACACCAACATAAACAACCATAAACAAAATGCAAGCTTTCTTCACAGTAACACGCACTCCTGAACATGCGAAAAACATAAACACCATCAATTTTTCACATCATCTGACACGAATCAAGAGCGCTCAAATCAAGCTATGGTACCTTCTCTCTGGGCTTGGGGCTGGTGAAGACGAAGTGGGACCCGGAGAGCAGGCGGGGCCAACCCGGTCGGGCCTCCGGGCGAGACGCGATCCATATCTCCCGGAGCGACTTGTAAGGCAAATTGGTTAGCGAGGAAAGTTCGGAGGCCAGGTTCCGGAGCTGTTCCGGGAGGTCCGGGTCGTGGGACGCTGACGAGAGGAAACGGCGGACGTGCTCGGTGGCTGAGATGATCAGCCCCGGCGGCGGGTTCGGCCGGTCGGCGGCGGAGGACGCGGTGGTCATGGTTGTGGATTGAGGGTAAATCGCCGCGAGCCCGACGGAGGTGGATCGGCAGCTATGTCGCCAGCTCAATATATCAAGCAGTAACGTACATATAACACACAGCACACTCTCGAATCAATACTAATGTCTCTGAGGCAATACATCGAACAGGTGGTGAACGTGGAATGCGATAGGTTCGGCAGACAAGATCATTCGATGAATCGGCGGACGATACGACGTGAGATGGTTATCTAGACGTTGGCAGAGAGAGAGAGAGAGACAAGATCAACAAGTTCGAGGGCATGCGAAGAACAACCGAACGTCAAAGTATACTCTCGACCAAAGAGGAACAGAAGAGGGATTGAACTTTAGATGACGTGAGAGCTCCTGCTCGGTCGGACGAATGACAAATTGAGCTATCCTGAAGCCTTTTGAGCGTCGTTCAAGCCAAGATCGTCGCCGTCGGAGACTATCGAAAGCCTAGGATGATTGATTACCTGGGATCGACTGCAACGATGGCGCAACTTGAATCGCAGACCCGGGAGAGCAGTGCCGAAGGAGGAGAAGGGCATGAAATTTTTTTTTTTTTTTGAGAAAATGATTCGAGTGACCAATGAACTTTGAGCTAACGTGCAATATCATCCTTAAATTTTTAATTTGTTCAATTTGATCCCTAAATTATAGCCCAACGTGTAATGACATTCTTGAATTTTCAATTTGTTCGATATGATTTTTGAAATTTTGGTTCATGTTTAATTTAATGTTCAATATTGACCCTGGAACTTGAATTAATGGAAGAACAATATTAAGAATAATATTGAACATCTTCATGTAATTCGAGGACTAAGTTGCACATATACGTACCAAAAGTCCATATACTACATTGAACAAATTGAAAGTTCATGGATCATATTTCATATTGAGCTAAAATTCGGGAACCACATTAAACAAATTAAAAGTTCATGGACTACATTACACATTGTGGCGAAGTTCAGGAACCGTATTCAACAAATTAAAAGTTCATGGACCGCATTGCATGTTGGGTTAAAATTTATGAACTATTTATATTATTTTCTTTTTTTCTTTTTTTTAAAGGGCATGAATTTTTTTTTTTTTTTTTTTTTGGTGGTCGTAATAAGGGCATGAACTTCAGACGGGAGAGAATTAGAGGAAGACTTTGAGGCCGGGCTGCTTCAACTGTGGGCTTAATGGGTCTTCTCTTCTTTTTCCTTTCAAATGGACACCCGTTCATCTTTTCGAAATAATCTGAGAGAAACAAAATGAGAACGAACACGATTACCCGATGAATCATCTCTTACGCACGTATCATGAAAATTTCAACCGATGGAAGAAATCGCATGTGAAGTGATCAAAAGTTTCTCAATTCTAAGATCTAATATATTCACGATCGATAATTATTGAGTCGAGCGCGTTGGTTTCTCTTCTTTTTTTTTTCCCTTCGCGAGCGCTTCTCCAATGAGAATGACATCACGAGACATTGTAGTCGATACGCACGAATTGCGAAGGCTTCCCTGAAAAAAAATTGATTATTTTGAATTCCAAGTTGCTTACCATATGACGCTTTCGAGGTTTTTGGACAAGATTATAATAATTTTTGATTGAGATCATCTTAGGAAAAAGCACTAAAAAAGTCATAAACCTATTATATTTGTGTCAATTCAGTCATGAACCTTTTAATTTGGCCAATATATTCCTAAACCTATTGCATTTGTGTCAATTGATTCCATCCAATTAATTTTGATAAAAAAATTGCTGACATGGATGCCGGCCGTCCGACGTGGCACGACTGGCACTGACATGGATAATTTTTAATATTTTTTGAAATTTTCTTTTGAATTTTTTCTTTTGAATTATTTTTCTTTCTTTTTCTTCATTTTGGTTGACGAGGGCCAACAAGCCCTCACCAAATCTGGGCAAGCGTCGCCTCATCCGCAGTCGATGGGGCCACGAAGGCCCTCGCTAGTGGCCAGCGAGGGCTCCTTGGTCCTTGCCATCGGCCGACGACCCTCCTCGGCCAAAATGAAGGGATAAAAACGAAAGAAAAAAATAATTAAAAATTATTAACATTAGCGCCGGTCGTGCCACGTAAAATGACTAGTGTCCAAGTCAGCGATTTCCAATTAAAATTGGCCAGATGGACTTTATTAGCACAAATGCAATAGGTTTATGACTAAATGAGCCCAATTGAAAAATTTAAAAGTGAATTGACAATAATGCAATAAATTTATGACTTTTTTTGTAATCTTTCCCGACCATCCCACCATCCATCCTTGAAACAGGGTCGGTTCAATCGGATCCGACAATCTACCTTGTACTCCGACACTAACATTGCGTGGCACAAGAAACCACCCCCAAGTTTAGTTCTATATGATCCGACACCAACAACAACATGGACATGCATCGATTGTCGATTCAACTCCACCCCCCGGCGATGGGGGGGTTGTCGTTGTGGTTGTGGCTAAGTGGTTGTGGCTAAGTAAAATCTTGGCAGGCACTCCACAAGAAAACCACCTCTCAACACAAGCGACTCGCTCAATTGCTATGATCATTCCCTGCCATGGACATCAAACCAACCTCGCCACGTCCCCTCCACCAAATTAAGCTAATCTCCCTCCTCCCTCTCCTCGACATTCCTCCTCATTTCTCTCTCTCTCTCTCTCTCTCGTCCTAACTTCCCCTTAAACGGCTGCCCCACAACAACAGTCACTGTGGAAACTCCTCCAAAACAAGAGGACACGCCGGTGGTCTTCCCCCCCTCTTCCCTTCCCGTCCTCTCGTCCCATGCGAAGAGCCGAGGCCGGAACGAACCCATCTCCGGCCGAGCACCGCCCTTCCAGGCAATGTCGGGCCCGCCCCCTCCCCTAGAGACCTCCTCCTACGCATCCCCTCCCGTCACCATCATCCTCACCGTCGTCCTCCTCGTCTTCTTCTTCGTCGGCTTCTTCTCCATCTTCTTCTGCAGGTGCTTCTTCGAGAACCTGTTCAGCCCCTGGAACCTGAGGCAGAGCCCCTCCGGGAACCAGAGGGGCGCGGCCGGGGCCAGCGATGGCCTCGACCCGTCCCTCATACAGGCCTTCCCTACCTTCGTGTACTCGGCCATCAAGGACTTCCGGCAGGAGAAGTACGGCTTGGAGTGCGCCATTTGCCTGGCGGAGTTCGAGGACGAGAGCGTCCTCCGCCTCCTGACGGTTTGCTACCACGTGTTTCATCAAGAGTGCATCGATCTTTGGCTCACGTCCCACAAGACGTGCCCCGTCTGTCGGGGGAACCTGGACTTGCCCCTGAGCAAGTTGTCGGAAATGCGTCCTGTGGTCGCGGTTCCTCGTGATAGTACCATGGGAAGCATCCGCGAAAATGAGGAGGCTTCTTTTCAGGGCGCGGTTAGCATCGATATTAAGGAAGGCGAGGAAGAGGAACGCAGAGGAGGGAGTAGCGATCCTGTCGTTATTACAGGACAAGAGCATTGCAAGACGGAGAAGTTTTCGCGGTCGCACTCGACCGGGCATTCGTTAGCTAGGAACAAAGTAGACGACGACAAATACATGTTGAAGTTGCAAGACCACGTAAAGGTCCAAATTAACAGGGGACACACCGGAAGCTGCATAACTTTCGGGGAATTCTCAGGTCACGAAGACATGTTGAGCAACGGTCGATTTGGTCACGTGCCGGGCTGCTCGATGCGCCAGCAACAAGAATGAAAAGTTTCTGGTTTCGAATTGTAGAGTGTTTTTCCTTGCCTCATTTCCCTAGTGGAATTATCGAAGGCCGAGTAACACGGATTGCTCGGGCATCTTGCCCGTTTTGATTAGGAATAGGAAGATAGTACAGATATTTGTTGCGAAACCGAAATACATAGCAGTAGATCATCCTGAAGAGCTTCTTCAATGGGGAGGAGATATTTTCTTTTTAAATTTAGCCTCGGATGAAGCAATGGCGATGTTGGATCACGACCTGAAGCTCGTTCATGGGAAAATGTTGGCAGCAGATGGGTCGTGCTCAGCACGATAGTTCTTGTTTGACAGTTCAACTTTTATCAGGTTGATATGGGAAAAGGAAAACATACCGACAGTTTATTCTAGGAAGAATTCACAAGAGTAGGATTCTGTGCTTGTACATGTACATTTACTGTTGCTGCTTATCTCTATTGTGTACGTAATGGAGGTTGAATTATCTGAATGTCTGGGGTTTTTTGCATTGCTGCCTGTCTCTTTCTTGGCAAAATGATAAGAACTGTTGCAATGGCTATAAACAGACTCTGGTACAAAAAGACGACTTAAACCTTCCTCTCTCAAAAACCAAACTAATAAAATGATCATGAATCTTTAATCTGCATAAGTACATTGGTTCATCAACAAAGTTGGCTGAATCTAAACTATCCAATGCAGTTCGTTGTCAAGAAATTGTGTGCATCGACGGACTAATTCAAGCACTAGAAATGTGAATCACCTGAAAGATCATGACAGAAAGTAAAATAAATAGAGCATCAAAGTAGATTTCATATGGAGGCACATCCTCTCTTGCAAAATTTCTTTCTTTGGTCGGATCTCCAAACTTATGCTTTACCAGGTAAAATGTACCATGACCATTAAAATTTTACTTCAGGCAGAGCAGATCTAATCGACGACTTACTTAGACTCTGTCTTAAGATGATTATCAACTAGGAATGGTTGCAGATTTTACATTTCCTTGTCTGCTCAGCAGCAATCTCCCGCTTGAAAACGATCTTTTCATCGACGCCGGGCCCATTAGACAATCCAAGAGCTTTCTAGTGCGGCCAGACCTGCTTAGCTCTCCTAATGAAGGCTCTGATGATCCTGCATCACTGAAGAATTTTTCGACAGGAAGGCCTTCTTCTTCTGGGTGGTGAATCACATCAGCAACCGTAACCAGGGTCTGACATGAATGATCCATCGAAACAGATCTTGTTATCCGTCTGACACCTTCGTCGCCTATCTCAATTACAGTGTGCCTATTCTCCCAGCACCCTAGATCACTAAAAACTCGAAAGGGTCTCTTACGAGATGCAGGATTTACGCTTGCTATTTCCTCTTCCTTTTCAAGCCTTTCTGAATTTTGTGCATCAGCTGAACTTTCATTTACCTGTTGGCTTCCCTCCGAAGAACAATTACGATCACCCAGATAACTTTCAGCCACCAAAGAAGGTAATTGAACTGGTGAAGCACTGACAAAAACTATGTCGGAACGACACAGGGGGCAAGAAGAGTGGGACCTGAGCCATGTATCGATACATGGGATGTGAAACGCGTGTGTGCATTTGGGCAAAAGCCTTATGCTTTCGTCCTCGTCGAACTCGCTGAGACAAACCGAGCAAGTCCCTTCGATCAACCCAACACCTTTCCTGTACTTGCACACCGTGATTGACTTGATCACCGCCTCGTCCAATCCAATTGTCTCAATCTGCCATGGCTCGTGGACCGCCGGGTTGTGATCATCTTCTAATTGTGCATTGGGCTCTTGGTCCTCTCTCCTCCTATTCTCAGTGTTGCCGCAGTACTTTGAAATTAAGGCATAGTAACTCATGAGTAGGAAAGCGCTTGCCATGATTCCAATTATCGCAATCACAAGAGGGGAGAGTCTAGGACCTGAGTTTCCATCCGAGAAATCGAGCGGCGGCGGCGGCGGCGGGAAGACGATGTAACACCACTGTGGACAGTACACACTGCAAAAGCCCTGTGAACAGTCTCTTGTGTTTGTGTATGTGAATGGTACCCAAGTTTTTGGGTTTCCCACAGACCCCATAAGAAGCTAAAGAGATTCTGAAATATGTGTTAACTCTAGATGACACTTCTAATCCTGAAAAAGAAGACTTGGGAATATCAGGAGAGCGTCTGTAGGTTAAGGACACTGCAAATACAAGAAAGTTTTTTACATTTGAGATTTAAATGGGATATGAAGATAAAAGTTGATGGAGAAAAGCTTACCTGAGAAGTGGGTGTGGATTGGAAGGCTTTCTGATGGTGGGTTCCTGATCAGAAATGAGATAGAAGCTGCAAAAAGAAAAATTGCTGATTTGGCTTGTGAGAGAAGCTGTGTAGGTTAAGGCTGGCAAGAATGGGCAAGTACAGGGCAAGATTATATGTGGAGGAATGAAACTTTGTTCAAAGAGACAAAAAAAAGAAGTTAGAAGGTGGTGTTGAAAAAGGAGACAAATAGGGAGAGGCGTGGAAAGCAGTGAAAAAAAAGAGAGATGTGAAGCTGAAGAGGGAAGTGGTCTCTAGTGAGGAGGGTTCACTTCATTCCACCCTTTTCCTTTTCTTGTTCAACCTCATTCTCTTTTCTGCAGCTTTAATTTTTTTTTGTTTTCTCTTTTCTTCTTGAGCATATTGGTCTGTTGTTGTTGACTGAGAGGGTTGATGGTTAAGATTTTATTGAAGCAATCAATGCTTTTCCATATGCTTGTCCGAAGCCAGCTGACACCAACATGTAATTATGAAATCGATCTCTTCATGCACAGAATGGGAATCAATCAGAATTTGATAGGCTTAAACGTGTACCAAGATTGACAGACCATCTTGCTCTAGTTGATAAGTAGTGCCGTCAAGGTAGTTGCACCAGCCAAAAGGAGAGTGCAAGCAAGCATCGGAATTCTTGCTTAGGGCTCTCTAGAAAATAAATATCTGATTTAAAAGATCATGGGAACTACTATAATCTCAAGAGATTGCATCTCCTATTTCTGTGCATTTATACTGTAGTTTCGTTCATTTTCATCAGACAAAGGATGTTCAGGTTGGTAGAAGGACAAACGATTTACAATGGGAGGAATGGCCCATGAAAGTCATGTCACTCGCCCAGCACATTCGAACTGCTAAATCATATGACCTCACATGAGACTCGTCATATTCAAAGTTGCTTGCATATAATCAGCTCCAATGCGCCGGGTCCATACGAGAACTCGTGAAAGGCAAAAATGCTCATCCCAATGATTGATACCCTCGTTCCCCAACTCCAAGATTTGGCTTTGGGGACCAGGTCTAAACAACCGTGGAATCCAGGTAGCTGAATTTGCAGACAAATATCAAACTTGAAATTGACAAAAGCCACAGAAAAAAGGCAGAACATGTCTTGACCATTAAGGCCAACTACAGCCAGTTAACAAGAAAAATCACCAGAGAGCAGACAACATCTCGGCCAGCAAAGAAAAAGCTTTAGTCAAAGTAAATCAAAGTGGGGTGTCAAAAAAAGCCGAAAAACTCTTCAATAATCAGTCAACAGCAGGCTTGCTAAAGTCATCGGTGCAGTCACCAACATTGCTTTTCCGGTTCTCCAAGAAATTGAAACCCTAAAAAATTGTGCTCTTTTATGTGCCTCCTGGGAATGCTAGTTGAAGATTGAGAAGCAGCGCAACTATGCTCATTCTTTTGCAGAAGTACATTCAAATCCCAATGCCTGACAGAAGCTCCTGCTCAGAGGTAAATTCAAGAAGTGAACATTCATTTTGATTCTCTGATGTCTATGGATTTGCACAACGGCATGCAATCCACACCCCATAGACAATTGGAAAATTCTCGATGCTTGTTTTTTTCCTGGAACAAATAAGACCGGAGCACAATTTTTCGCAACCACAAGGATCAGTGAAAGAAGAAGACATCTGTGTATCAATTTAAGTGGTGATGCTGTGGTTTATTGCGATTGCAAAGATGACACGAGATCTACCCTCAGTTCATAACCTAAAAGCAAACCGACATATTTGTGTGTGTAAATTCAAGTCTCTACACACACAAAAATTATATCTGGCAACAAGAAACCAGTGTTCACCAAACAATTAACAACCATTAATAGCATAAGACGATCGAACTTAAACGGATGCCAAATAAGTACATGAAATTAGTAAATTACAGTTACAGATAAGGCTTCCACCTCATCAATCAACAAGTATGGGATTAAAGTGGCTAAACAAAGGAGAGAAGATGAAGAAAGGGGAAGTTCGTGACGACAAAATATGTCTACATAAGAGGTTTGTCTGAGAGGATAAACACACGATAAAATTTAAAGGCTATAACTAAAAGTCAGTATTGATTAGAATGATGACATGAAATATATTATTCTAATGTAGCTCATGGAGCAGAAACAATAAGTCAGGAAAATAGTTCAACCAAATTCTCAAAAAGTGGGGTAAAAAAAAAAACAAAGAGGATGGATGAGAAATGAAAGCCAGGTTTGGATCCGTCTGTACTATATTGCAGTCCTACACCTCAACCATTCAACTTCTGCCCCACATATTGTCTATTTCATTGGCTATCTAATCTTATTCTCTGATTAAAGAAGAAGATCCGAAAGGAACTTTGATTATTTGGTGCGAATGCCTTAGCACTGAGACAAATTGCCTCACAAAACAAAATTTCCCTATAGCACTTCTCCAATTTTTCTGAATGAAAAATAGTTGCATGCGAGTAATCATTGCAAGTTTATAACAAACGTGCAAAGATGATTCCATTAGAATGTTAAAAATGCTGACAAATCTACAATCCAACTAAAAAGACAGCCAGGTTTCGGCATACGGGATCTTTTTATATCGAAATTCATGTGTGATTTACAAACAAGTGCAGTCTAGACTAGGGGAAGCTGCACTGCCCTGATCTCAGCTTAAGTTGTTAAAGTAAGCAAAAAAAGTAGGAAACACAAAAGAATCACGACTTCTCTAAGCAACATTTCCATACAAGAAGTGATGAGTCTATAAAACGCACAGACCAAGGAAATTCCGTGCTATATTCACAAGAGATGTAAATAAAATAATGCTTGCAGGTTAATGATCTTTGAACTTCACATCAGCAAAGCAGGTCATGATTTATCAGGCTGACCCTCGGAAGTTTCCTCCCCTTCATTTCCACTTTCAGATTCGGCAGCATTCCTTTCGCTAAATTTTAGACGAAGTGGACGACCCATCAATTCCTGCCAGAGAGATAAGTTCATATCATGAGTCCCAATCAAAAGAACAGCTAACATTACTAAGTAAACTGAATAACATCATCTATGTACACCTGAATCTTTACATGCTATTCACTTGTTCATACACCTATGAAGATATGAGCAGGCACCGAGCTAATCTGACGGGACAATGGTTAAAGCAACAGGCGTGATCTATCATATAAAGAGTTCATAAAACAGAAAATACGAAAGGGACAAAAAAATGGCACGTTTATCTATTTTTCTATCTCCAGAAAGGACTGGAAGGACACAAATTCCAGATACACTGGTCTTTCAGTTACTCAGTTAAATGCTCTTCAATGTTACAAATCATCCACATTCCAATATCAAGACCCTTCTATGGTCTCAGAGATCAGTTCACTGCCCTTAATTACAGACACAAAAAAAATCATTATAAACCTGGTGGTATACTTATGAGTAGTTTTACATGTAATAGAGCAGGTGAATGTCCTCAGGAAAGATATAGTCTTTATATCTACTCTACTCTCCTAGGGTGACTTTATATATTTACTTGATATTCCATTTCTGGCGTAGTCGAACTATAAATTTGAGGAGCATATCTTTCTGGTCATCAGTAGATAATTTACCACCAAGGCAGTTACGTATATCTAATTAATTACTGACAGAATGCACTTAAATGACATTTCATGGAACAATGATTGCTATGAAGTAGCTTCCATGAATATGATACCCAAGTGAACCAGTTGATGCTGTCATGTAATGTACTATTCACACATAGACAACAATTAGCAAACCAAAAATGACACTTGAAACTATTCATATAGTTTTGCTCAGGCATTACCTTTCCATCCAATGCAGAAATTGCTGCCTCAGCTTCCTCCCTGGTGGCAAATGACACAAATCCGTAGCCGGCAGATCTACCAGAAGGGCTTTCAAAAACCACTCTACTTGACACGGGTTTAAAGTTCTCCGAAAACAATTCTCGAAGATGTGTCGATCTAACTTTCCAAGCTAGATTAGACACATAAAGCTTGTGACGGGTCTCCTTAGGGGAGGGAGCGTTAGGTGGAGGCGGAGGAGGAGGTCTCCTAAATCTCTTTGCAAACTCTACTCTGATAATCCTCCCAGAGACTTCCTGCATTGACACATCCAATATAAGGAAGTGAACTTACGATGTGTGAAACTAAATTTAAAAGGAGGCGACATTTTTTAACGAGGTGACTATTCAGTTTGCAACTATCTGACTTCAAGACCAATGCAAATTATAGCTGAAAACACGCTCATAGTGATGATCGGGTCACCTCAACACAACAAGAATAGTGCAAATTATAATGACAACATGATCTGCATCCATTGTCTTCAAGGAAAAATCCTCAACGGCGCACTGATCTTCTCAATTCAAAGTCATTTTTCAGATTTTACAGACAAGATTACTAAGAGGGGCATGAGTGCATATTCAAAGAGAAGCTTCAACATATGTTGCAACAACTCACAAATGAATCGAATTTGTCAACGACAGCCTGAGCTTCTTCTCCTGAAGACATTGTCACGAAAGCATAGCCTCTGCTTTTCCCATCCTTCTGCTTTATAATCTGCAACGCAGACCTACTACAGTTCAGTTTCAAACTGAAAAGAGAAAAGAACAAAGCTCACAAACAGAAAGAGACGACAGCCTAAATGAAAAGAACAAAAAAAAAACATAAAACCTCGACGTCTTTGGCAGTGCCACACTGGCCAAACAGGTTCTTGATGTCGTCGACGGAGAGTGACCAGGGCAAGTTGACCACGTAAAGCTTCTTCTTGATGTTCTGCTCCTGGGTCTTCTCGTCAGCCTCGGTCTCCGCCGCCGCTTCTTGGACCGCGAAGCACAGCTCGAGGCACGGTCTCCCGGTTCGCCTGTTGTGGGGTGCATGGCGAAGCTGCGCGCGGGGCGAACTCGACGACTGTGAGGGCGGGGTCGCCGGAGGGAACCCAAGCTTGACGGAGGCCGGCGGCTTGGCGTGCGCAGGGGAGCGAGGGTGGAGAGGAGATGACGACGGGCCCGAGAAGATGGAGAGCGCGGTTTCGAGGGTCGCCATTGCCAGCGGTTCGGAGAGAAGCGAAAGAGGATAAGGAGTGGGTTTGAGAGAAATTTGCGGGGCCACAGCTGAGCCGTCGTCGTCGCCGACGGTTCGATCCTTTCGCCGGTGTCTTTCTGCGGCTGCGACGCCGGGGAGCACAGGTGGCTCCCGACGGCGGGCCCGGTTTTCAGACGGTCGCTCCGATCCGAACCCGATCAGACGCGCGTGTATGACCCGGATCCGCCTTTTTATTAAGTCTGGTCGGGTCCTGAACAGAAGGTAATTTTACATTGGATGTTACCTGAAACGTTGCAAATTGCTCAACCGGGCCTTCTCAGTATTGTTTTTTGTTGGCAATTGGGTCATGAGAGAGAGAAAAAGAGAGCCGAGGTCGTGACCCTCGCAACTCCGATTGGCGACGAGGTCGCGGGCCTTGCGACTTCACCGGTTGTTAATCTTGAGCGAGGGCCTCTCTCTCTCCATATTGATCGGATAAAATTGTTAATCTTTGAATTGATGCAACAGGGGAAGTGCAATTCCGCCCACGCATACCTTGTCACTCTTTTCTTATTCGGGGCAAAGGCGGCGGCAGCTCCCGCTCAAGTCCGCGAGGGACGTCGGCTCCTCAGCTGCAGCTTCCCATGCCTAAACTCTAAGATTTGATTTTTTTCTCTTTTCTTAAAGATAGATGTTTTGTTGATGTGGTATTGTATGTAAGATGACAAGTCGACAATTAATGGCCACATCAACATTTATAGAGGATGAACTCGAACGAAAAACAGATTATTTAAGGATTCCATTGCACGTAAAAAAAGTCGAGTGACCTGATCGAACATTTTGTAATAGTTAAGAGACCTCCGAGGCCTTTCTTCAAGAACCTTCGTATGTCAAGGGCTCAAAATCCAGCAAAATGCACAAATTCAGAATCAGTGATGTTGGGCCGAATCCAATTTCCCCAAAGAGCACATTGACAGGCTAAATGGCTTAGAGAACAAGTCCAATGTGAATTCAATCTTCATACATAAACCCAAAAGGCCACAATTTAGACCGTAAACAAATGCTAAAAGCCCATTGAACATTTGAAACTCCCTTTGATGAGCTCGTGGGAAAATATGGGCCAAAAGTCAACATAAGTGATGTCTCTTAAGGCCCATAAGATTAGTAAAAAAATTGCAGAACATTGGAGTCACCAATTAGAAACCAATAATGAGAAAATCCTCAAAGAAATGAGCACACAAGCTAAAGAAACAGAAGAGGGCGATAATAGGTAAAACTACGCTCCATTTGTTTCACGGAAAATGAATTGTATTGAAAAATATTTTCAAAGGAGCTTATTTTCAAGTAAAGTTATTTTTCCCGCATATGGCTGTATTTTGTAAATAATACGGAAGTCATTTTGTGATGAGAAAATTATAAGACACACATTTGAGAAAGTGTCTCAAGTACAACCACTGTCCTAGGTTCAGGCGTCGAGGACTTAGGTCTGCCGCAAGCGTCTCAGCCCCAGCCATTGGGGTCCTGAGCCCGAGCAATCGGAGTCTAGTTTTACTTTGGAAATATCTCTAATTTTTTCAAAATGATGTTATCTTTCCAAGGTTCCGTTTGTTTGGCTAAAAATACTTTCATCATTTTCTAGCATTTGGTTTGCTTAGGAAAATGAGTCAATGGAAAGTATTTTCCGAGTCAATGGAATATCTATGTTTAAATTTAGGAAAATAATTTATTCTTTGAAAATCGAAAAACATTTTCCAAAATATGACTAGGTATCGACACTTGGACTCGAAACTCTATTTTAAGCATGGAAACCCCAACATTAGTGTCCAGGACTAGGTCTCTGACACCCGGGCCTAGGTCCATCGAGGGCCAGCCCCTAGTGCCCATGCCGGGGTCCATCCAAGCAGAGCCCGATGCCCTGGCGCTCATGCTCGATGTCTCAGCACTTGAGCGTGGGTGCATAATGGTCGTGCTCGGGTCGTCGATGCTCGAGCTATGGTCCCCAACACTCAGACCCGGGTCCACGAAGATAATGTTCGAGTCTTCAATGCTCGAGCTCGGGTTCTTAGTTAATAAAATATTTGTTCTAATAAAATAATTTTTTAATTAATTTCTTTTCTTTCTTTTTGCTTCTTCTTCAATTGGTTGCTGGCCACTGCGACCGTCGGCAACCGCCATAGGCGAGGGACGAGCTTGCCTAAGGTCGGCAAAGTTCGACCTTGCCAGATTCCAGAGAGCTCGAGCCTCGCCATTTAAGGCGAGGTTGGCAAGGCTCTGGTGACCTTGAGAGCCTTGCCCAGCTCACCGAAATCTGGCAAGGTCGAGCCTTGCTAGCTTAGGGTGAGCTCGTCCCTCGTTTGTCGACCGGCCAAGAAAGAAGGAAAAAGAAAAAGAAAGAAAAGGAAAAAAGAAAATTAACAATAAAAAATTTAATTTTTTTGTCATTTTCTCAAGGAAAATCAAATTAGATACCCAAAGGCGGAAAATATTTTCTAATTCATTTTCAGATTTCAGCCAAATACAAAAAAATATTGTCACTTTTCTAGAAATGAAATGAATTTCTAGAAAACGTCACATTTTTTTATGGAACGAACAGAGTTTAAGTTTAAACATAAATTTTCCGTTGACTATGAGAAGAATTTTGGTCGACCCGTCCTTGTAATTCAAACGCCGGAAGAATGTGGAAGATGATCTTCGATAGTAAATTTATTCCGAAACGAACGCAAGTCACCGTAATAAGAAGTTGCCATCATGGCAAGAACTAAAGAAGACTCACCAAATCATATTCAGAATTTGCAGGGGCAATAAATTCTCTCAAGTAGAGAGAGGACTTGAGTTCGAATTCAGTGCCTGGCATGTCAAAATATCTTCTCTTACATGAAGGACTCAAGAGTCAATGATGTGCCAGAATTGATGGGTACCGAACCAAGTTGGTCTTCAATCGTCGTCATCAGCAGCATGCGAAGGTTGGAGATTCATCTCCCTTGTAGAGAAAACCGGGAGGAGCAATCAACTGACCTTCATCCACGAGAACAGCGACCCGCGACTGTGGCCCAAGCTTCGTCCTCAGACGTATATGAGCTCAAAATATGACTATTGGATCAGTACAGGTACGAGTGATGGACTCCGAATCGAATCACCCATGCCGACATGCCCTTTGGTTGCGACTTATCTTACCATAAACAACTTAATCATAGTTCAAGGAAAGACAAGTGTCATCTATAATCAAATTGAGTTTGTCGATTGATTTTGTCCATCACATCTTAAGTAAAATGAAACGACGTAGAGCTCCTCAATTTGGCTTTTCGGTTTATCCAAGTGCTTCCATTTTATGGTTAAGCATAACACGCAAGGTCCCTGAAAGTCTCATGTGTCCATGCCCTTATGCATAACTGCCCCTTATACTTGCATTCATTGTGCAGGTGGTCCGGGCTATCTTGCTTATATGAATAAGGCTGAAAACGATGCCCCCTTTCGAGAGCATTGCCCTGGAATAGCCTCGCTAAAAGAGATTTCTCAAGGGTCACGAGGCTTCTTTCCCTTAGGCAGAGGGACCATTTCCGGGTCCAAAAGGCATGTTTGGTATCATTCTAGGGATCATAATCTTTGATTTGATGTCTCTTAGGTTCTACTAATCATGTACGACTGCATGATGCATCATTGCTATAACAATTAAGGGTTTTCTTTTTCATGTTGAATTCATGATTTTGACTTTCCACAAAGGGTTTGACATGACCTTGGTACCTTGTTTGGGGAATTCTGTAGAGGGAACCACGGGCTTTGTGCTTCGGACCAACTCGTGTAGCCCACGGGGCCCCAAAAACATTCGTGAAGGAACAAATTATTTTATTGGGGGAGACCTCCTAATGCAAGCAACATCCGGGGGTTCCAAATTCATCTTCTCGTTGCTCTTCATAGTCAATTCACAACACCTCCTATTGGCTTGCTTGTTCAATGTCAAAGCAGGAGAAGTACCACACGGGTCGTATAACCATCTCGGTTACTTCACGTGAACACGACTCCTCGCGAATCCTCTAGCTCCACCCTCCGGCGTCCGTCTTCCCGAATCGCGTTAACATCGACCCGTTTCTCGACCGGGGCGCACGAGGAAATGGAAATTGAGACAAGCGATGGCGAAAGAACCAATCCCATGTCTCGAAACCGAAAGGCGGGTCGAGCAAACAGTGATAGTTATAGGCCAGAGATATTGCCTCCCCTTGAAATATCTCTTTGGGTCTGGTCAGATGATATTCTAATACAGAAGCGAAAGCGATCCCCAAAAACAATCGTGATCGATCCCCTCTGTTCTGATCCTCTCCTTCTTCTTAACTTCCTTCTCTTTTCTTTTCCCTTTCTTATTCATACAAGAGTCCAAGCAAGCAAACACCATGCCCGAGGAGGCCCCGCCAAGTTGGGGTGTTACAGCAACTGATGGTTTCGTCTTTAATGGAGGGGAGGGCGGCCTACGGTGGAGAGAGAGAGAGAGAGAGGAGCTTGGCGTCACCAAAAGATTTTATGTCCACTTTGGCATAATTATCTTATTAAAGTTGCTGGTGCCTCTAGTTCATACTTATCTCTACTTCACATCATGCTTTATCTTCGTGTGGGAAAACATGCCCTATGTTGAACGAATATACTAGTATAATGTTAGGTCCTTCGACTAAGATCACGACATAGAGCATCGAATGGATGAGATGAAATGAGTTCGGACCATCGACTCTAACAAAACCCGCGCAAAAACCCGTCACTTCAAGATTTTAAATTCATTCCGACGCGTTTGCTAAATTCACCGAGCGATTACCCGTCGTCCGGTTTCGAATCTTTGCGGGCGGGGTCGTTCCGGATTCGACTTTCGCCGTCGAGAGAGAGAGCGGAAGACGAAGTCAAGTCAAGCCGAGCCGAGCAATTCTAGGAGGGCTCATGTGGCGTTACCGCATATTTAATGCTGCCCCTGCGGAAATAGGAAGTTAGGTAAATGTTGGTGACCTTCCCATGGCATTGACAAAACGCTTAAAACAAAAGGAGGGCATCTCCATCACCATGGTGTGGGCACGAAAGGTGCCTCCTCCTAATTATTTTTTGGCCGTTCACATGACGTCACATAATCGAAAGAATTTAGTATGCAATCACCACAATATGACGTCATGGCGTAGGCAAAGGTCGATTGAAGATCGGAGTGGCGTGACCCGCGATTGCCTCGCCCCCCCTTTGATTTGGTTTTTAATTTGGAGCGAGGGGGACAGATGGAGGGTGCGCAATCAAAGAGAACGAGGCATGATGGAGTACACGCGTTGGTCAAGAAAACACAGAGCAAAATACCCAATTTCTCTTTCTTTCTTTTTTTAATCGATATATTTATTTTATTTTATTTAAATTTAGGAATAAATTTAAGGAAAAAGAAAAAGAGTGGAAGATGAGGACATTTTTTGGATGGGAAAGGGAAGAAGGCGATAAGCACAAATTGAGAAGCATACAGGGAGGGATGGATGGGAGAGTGAGATCCACATCCTACCCCACTAACCTTTTCTAGTGGGTGCTCCTCCTTTGCCCACCTTACACATAGGAAAAGTGAATCCTACAATTGGTCACGCAACATCGGAATTTGATATCAGAGTATCTCGACTAACTTTTCTTATGTCAATAGCATGTGATGTGCGGTTGCAATTCGATTCCTCGTGTGCCAAGGTGCCGCGGCGGTACAGTTTTCGATCGGAAAGAAGAGGCGTGAAATCTAATCTGGGGGAGTGTAACTCGACGTGTAGAACTTCCGACGCGATTGGTTAGAAGTCATGGCTCTCCGAAGCAACGGAGCGCGTGCTTCCGGTTCCGTCCGTTTCACGAACCGAAACGATCTAGATAGTTGCCGGTAAATATGTATTGCGTGAAATCTAATCTGGGGGAGTGTAACTCGACGTGTAGAACTTCCGACGCGATTGGTTAGAAGTCATGGCTCTCCGAAGCAACGGAGCGCGTGCTTCCGGTTCCGTCCGTTTCACGAACCGAAACGATCTAGATAGTTGCCGGTAAATATGTATTGCGTTCTTTGTTGCAGTTAGTTTTCGTCACGGGCGGAGGTACGAGTATGTATAGCTCCCTGCGTTGAAAAAAATTACCCGGCTTTACACAACGTGTCAAATAGTTAGCAATATAGAAATTCCACCAAAAATCTCTTCTTCTTCTTTCTTCTGTTCCATCTAGATCAGCTTAGGCCAAATATGTTTTAAGATTAGTGGGAGATAAAAAGCTACTGATGTCGATTAGTAGTCTTGAGTAGAACTTATCGATAGACTGATCAAGTTGTCTAGCCACGGATTTTCATTTTAAGTAGAGGGTGCGTTCGTTTCACCGAAAATTCATGATAAAAAAAATATTTTTGATGGAAATCATTTTTAGGGAAAATTGTTAACTTTTCATTTACTTTGCGGTTCGGGAAAAAGTGATTTCATTCTTGTCAGAATGGAAAATTATTTTCCTTCGATCTAACCTCGTTATTTTCAGTTCATGGAAAACGTTTTCCATAAATCGATCAATCTTTCGCCGTCCAAACATCGGAAAGTCGGAAAATAATCTTCCGAAAATAGAAACGGACCCAAGAGTGACCCGATTTCTTACTCCCACGAGGAATGATTGGAAGAAGTACCAATTTGGAGAGCCAAAGAGAATCTTTCCACTGCTAGCGCTCGATGATGTGAAAGTCCAGCAACAGTGGGAAAGCACGTGTTTCATATGGGCGACGGATGCTCCCACAACCAAACCACGACAAACGTGTTTGGCCCGGCGATATGTCCGAAGTGAAAGATGCATCTTCTTCACGAGGCGTGCCAAGAAAGGTGCGTCTTCTCGAGTCACCCCCGTAGGCATTGGGCCATCTTCTTCTTTTACCGACAGATGCAGGTTTGGTTACAGTTAATGCCCACGAAGATGCTTCACTTATGTCTGATCCACACTTGGACGCATTGATGTTAGACCCGCAATTTCCATGCGTACCCACTTGGAATCGGTTTTTACTAGGAACATAACTCCTCTTCTTTTGGGGGTAATGGCAACTGCAAGTACCTAACTTTTGCCCCCTTTTTACCATGTTTCTTCTTTTTTTTATGACCGATCAAAATACCTCCACTTTTCCAATGCTTCGGTGTCAGACCTCCGATGTAGATGGAAAACGCCGAATCGGGCAATTACACCGGTAAATAACCGTCGGTTGTCTACGTCGGTTGTCTACATCGGCGCCTGATGTGGCCTCTTTCGAATGGTGTCATGTCAACAGAGTCGAATTGGATGGCCAAGACCGTCCAAGCCAGCATGCTCTCCCCGCTCATCGGCCAGTATACTTAAATCGTAATTTCTGCTCGGTAGACAAGTTAGTCAATATCTGGCTTAATTTTTGCTAATCACATCAGCAAATCACATAACATTGTAGTGACCCACATTTGAATAGTTAAGGTACTTGATTAAACGAAAAATGTTTATGCACTTGATTGGAAGGCCGAAATTCTTATTAGATATTTGCGATATCATACTTCTTTTTCTTATTTGGTTGCTACCTTACTATAGCTGACTCGCATCTTTTAAGTTTTATTTAATGCAAAATTGAGATCCTTTCATGAAGCAAAAATATTGACACGTCAACTCAATCTTTGCTACTTGGTAGTCTTTAGAAGTTGGATTATGTCTTAAAATTTGACAGGAAATGAAGCAGATGACTTTTTATTTTCAACGAAGTTGAAAATAAATGGGCTCTGAATTTTCTTCTTCCTCTTCTTCTTTTTTTACAGGATAAAATCTTTTTTACAGGATAAAATATTTGCCCAAGAAAGTAATAAGCTGCTTAAAATTCCTCCTCTTGACCAGCTGCCACCTGCAAAACATTTACACGCCATAAGACTCCACAAAAGTCACCCCTGTCAGAGCATTTTATAGTGGCCATGTCCCATCCCAAGGACGCCGAGGAAGCCGACAACCACCCCTTTTTCTAACCCCCATTCCGCACGTTCCGCCGCCGTGGGACCCGCCACAGCCGGTGGTTCTCACCACCGTGCGGCCACCGGCCACATTGAAGTTAACAACGACGTTCCTTTGGGGTAAAAACGGAAAAAAAATAAAACAGCAAGATCCTAAAAATGGAAAGTTGGAAACTGCTGAATTTACAATTTCGCAGCACTGAGATCACAAGCTTTTTGCTTTCTTTTCTCGCATAATCACTTCGCTGCTGCAGCTGTATATTCACATTCTCCTCCTACACGTCCGGAGGAAACACTTCAATATATACATTTGTGCCAAAACTTATGTCTTACATTACCCACTCTAAAGATTACCAGAAACGAAAGAAAGAAAGCAACCCATACGATCTTATATGATGTTTCCTGCTTCATCCTGCACTCAACTCTTCTTATCCGACGACATTTTCCCAGTTCACCATTACAGCCGCCGGCGTTTTATTTCTTCTTATTCGCCTCGTTTCTTCACTGTACTCCCATCTTCAGGCGTGCTTCTTCTATACACACACAGCTCTAAGGTAAACGACCAAAGAAAAGAGGGACTGTGTTTTCTTCTAAGGCTATGATCATCATCAGTAGCACCCGGGGGGGGTGTGGCTAATATTCTATGATGAATCCCCCCATTGGGGCTCTGTGGGGAATCCCCTTCCTCCGCTTGGCGATCCTGTGATTCGGGGCTGTTGGAGGGGGCGTTGACGGGCTGAAGCTCTGGACTTTCTTGCTCACCTTGCGCCGCCCGTGGGCCGCGCGGCTGCTGCTGCTGTACGAATCTTCAGAGTCGTCGTTGGACACCATGGAAGCCCTCTTGAGCTTCTTCTTCTCCTTCACGAAATTCTTCGATGTCCCCACAATCTGCGGTTCATGGGGTTCGACGCGTCAATTGCCGTATTTCATTAATGAGTCCGGAAAAAGTAAATTGGAAAATGACCTTTGAATAAGGACGGGGACTAAAGCTTGGGCAATGGGGGTGAAAGAGTCAAACTTTATAGTTAAACCAAACACCCAATTGGGTGACTACTGCTGGACTTGTGTACGCCTAACTAAAATTCTTGAGCAAAATTACATCGATCAATATAGTTGGAAATCACAATAATCACAGATTAGTCACAAGACTCGCAACCGATCGGTCTCATTGAGAGAATCGGTTCTTGATATTTGAAGATTGTACCCCTGCGATTTTAAAAAGACGCTCTTTTCCATCATCAATCTTCTCTTTCGTCCAGAAGGTTCAACTGGTGGTAGTTAAAGTTTACAAATTTGGAAAAATGGAGAAAAACTCCTCAAAGTTTTCTTCAATATTCAGGGCAATGATCACACTTTCGCTCTCTGAGCTTCCCAATTTTTGTTGAGATTTGTCTTGGGTATCATCGGGAAAAAATGGGGAAAAAGAAAAGAAAATGAAAAAGAGAAACAGGGGACTTGAGATTACCTTGCAGCCCAGAGAGCAGAACCGGAAGGAATCGAGGAGGCTTCGCTCGCACACCTCGCAAGTGTTGGTGACGCCTTTGCCAGGCCTGGGCTGAGGCCTCTCGTTCAAGAAGACGACCCTCGCGCTGTTTATGGTGTATGTCTGAACCCCTGTGATGTCCAACACCTTCTGAATCTCCGAGACTCTGATCACATCATGGTACGACGACCTCCTTATCTGTTGATGTTGCACAAAAAAGATCACAAGTTTGTTACGATTTCGGCTGAAACTTGAAGGTTATGACAATGGGTTTGAAAGGCTTCAATGTTTGGCATTCTCAGCTACACATTGACAATTTTAGATAGATCGACTATGCAATGCTCAAGGAAGATTTAACAGCAGAAAGTTTACTTTTTTGAGGACGTACAGGATTTTGTTGACTCGTTTTTTTCTCAAAAAAAAAAAAACACAATTGGGTAGAGTTGAACTTAAAAACACATTGCAGAACCCAAATGGAGAAAACGGCTAGGACAAAAACAGGGGAAATTCACACTTCCCAAAAAGAAAAACTGAAATAAAGAAGGTTTGACTTGAAAGAATGAAATAGTGCAGCTCAAATTAATAAAGGAGTAGAATCTATAATAGTGGAATCGAGAACGGTTTTAGGAGATGATTTGTGGTACCTGTATTGAGTTATGATCCTTGTGAGAAGCGAGGCAGAGAGAGCAGAGAGGGCCGTTCATGCAATCCAAGCAATACATGTTGCACTCGCTCTTGTGAGAATCTGCGTGCGTCTTGCATTGCACGAAGAACCTCTCTTTGAGCAGAGGCTTCAACCATGGCGGCCACCTATTATTGTCTTCTTCTTCGGGACCTCCACCTCCCTGTTTCAGGCACAACCAAAACAGAGCACGATCGTCACACCCAATTCAATTCATCAAAACCGCCCCCATTCGCCAGCGAATAATCGGCAACAGACAAACATTCAATGTAACGCGAAAAAAGCGATTGAGAAATGGTCAAGAGGACAAGTCAACAGCAGAGAAGAACAGGGGTTTGGTGATAGGAGAGGCGGCCGTCATCCTTTAAGCCACAAAAAAGATTCGATTTTTTATCACAACCCAACACGACCAGGCACATCGAGAACGCGAAAGAAGAGAGAAATGCAGAGAAGAGACACGAACCCGTACCATGATTCGCCTGTTCTTCGGCTTGATTTCCCAGACAGCGCTATCCTGGTTTTCGATCGCCAGCTTGAAATGCTGCATCAGGCCGCTCTGTTCTTCACTGCAACTGCAGAAAGAGAGAGAGAGAGAGAGAGGCGTGTCTGGAGGTGCAGAATGGGTGTTCTGTCTCAGAGAGAGAGAGAGAGAGAGAGAACTCAAAGAGCAAAGTGGGGAGGCTGTATCACAGAGAGAGAGAGAGAGAGAATGGGTTCTTGTAGAAGAGGAGGGAGAGAAAGCAGTGGTCGTTCTTATCTGCTCAAAGTCTACAACCGAACCTGAGACCGAGCCAGAGCCCGAACCCGAGCCTGGGAGGAGATGCGTTTGGTGCAAGGAACTCCAAACTCGCCTTCCTCCTCTGCTTTTTTTCCTATGGTAAAGATGGGGTTTAATTTCCGAGTCTTAATCTCCGTATATTATGCAGATATTCCAACCCCCGCCCCATTTCTTTAACCATATGTTGTCATTATTGGGCCATTAGCCCCCTTTTTTCTAATTACGCTCAACCGTCGGTTCTCAGGACAGCGACCGGGCCGGCCGGGGGCATCGCGCCCGCGTGGCGGCCCTCGATTCGCCGGACGAGCTCCGGCTTCATTTTCTTCCCCCATGTCTCCCACATGTTTTGCGACTTGTTAATCCTGCCTTCGATCCCGAGCTTTCCTTCCAACGGGGTCCTGCTCGTGTTGTGACCTCACTCGTCTGGTTTTAATCTCGCCGCGTTTCTTGAACGGGTACATAAAACGACAACCTCGGCGTGCTATACCGGTATTAAAAGTATCCCGCGTCGCTTAATCGGTAGAATTTATATATTCTTTATATACATGTGTGTAGTCCAGTTTATTTTGCTGTTGCGCCCCCCCCCCTCCCCCCCTCGTCAAATTTCGCGTGTCCGACTCGCCCGTGAGAGACGACGGTGTCGAAGCATCCCGTGTCGCTCGTCCATCGGAATTACGTGCTCTTTGTATGCGTATAGTCTCCTTCACTTGTTGGCTCGAGTTTCTGTGTCGGACTTCGAAAGATTCGGGAACCAAAACACAAAAGGCAATTCACAACGAGAGGTGAATTTAAACCAAAAGGGCAAATTCAAAAACTTGTCTTATAACCATTTGAACTAAAGTTTCGACAAGGTTAGCATATGGTCAAGCTACATGCCCGCTTCTAATCAAAACTTCTTGGACAAAATGGGATGGCAACCTCAGACAAAATTCCTGCTTTTGGACTCTACTATTGTCAGTCCATGATGATGTAATCGGTTAGCAAGTTGAGACCGTCGTGTGCCCGACACGTGTAATTGTGCCGATGACTTTTGGTGCCTAGCCGGCTAGGCAAGAAGATAACATAGAATTTTCGTGACTACGCATTTGGAATAACTCCGGCGACACATCCTAATCATCTCAAAACAACAAGCTGGGCCAAGGCACACGTTATCCAAAACCACGTGTTCTTAGCATATTTTGACCAATTGATCATGACGGTACGAGATCACACTCGATAGCATCGGGCTAGCGCAAGGGCAAGCGGAGATCGGTGATGCCGACGAACCGGTACGAATCCCCCTTCGGTCGAACGGAGCTCCTGAGGCGAGCGAGAGCCGTCGCTCCAGATTAACCAGGTCGCGGAGAGAGTTCCGGTCCACGCGACCCTCGCACGCGATTACGGACGTCTTTTTACCAAGTTCGGCGTGCAATCATTGTACCGCGTATCGACTCCGTCCTTCAATAATAATTCGAAGTGTGTGCGGATTTCGGGATGATATTATTGATGTCGTCGGATTTACTTGCTACCTAAGCAATGCATGTGGCCTTTTGTGTGCCCACGCACATCAAGATATTCGAGTGAAAAGGAAGCTTACGAGCCAGAAAGTTCTTTGAAACTTCAGGAATTGAATTGGGCAGCAAGGGGTCAAGCTGCTTTTGGCAACATTATATAATTGAACACCTTTTTGCTTCCCTGTGAATCCAATTGATCCCAAGAATCACACGACATATCTGATTTTTTTTTCTCCCTAATCTATCATTTAATTACAAAAAAAAAAAAGTCCCTACATTTTTTTTATAAAATAATTTCTCGCAAATCCCTCCTCCGCCGTTCTAGTTCTGGCCCAGCACGGATGGTCCGGCTGTGACCGGATCGGGAGGTGGACTTCGATCAGGAGGACGAGAGCTGGCCCGTTACACAGCACGTCCGGGTCAAGTCACGTCTCCATTGCACATAAACCAAATCCAAAACAACGACCAAATTTTCGCCGACCATGTACGTGTTGCCGTGAGACATCCCCCGCACTATCGAACGGCGCACGAAATTGTAATCTCGGAAGCAATCGAGCGAACCCTATTTCGATTTCTGAAATCTCAAAACCCTTTTTTCGAATTCGAATCGGGATCCCCCCCCAACACAAAATGTCGAATTTAATGTTCATTTGCCAAATCAATCGTACCCGTCAACCATTTTATTTCCATCATTCTACTTTTTTTTTTTGTGGTAACCCAGGGAACCCCGCACGGCCGACAGGTAAACCCTGGGGTCGACACGTGCTAGCCACCACACACGTGCACCGGTTAAGTCACCCTGCGGCGCCCGGAATTCGAACACTCAACCTTTTACGAGAGGAAGAGTGTCCTTTCCAGCAGCGCCACCCAGGCGGGTGGTCTCATTCTACTCTTTCTTATAATAAAAAATGCAGAAATGCAAAGACTAATCCAAATCGAATGAGCGAGATATGGCCGAATCCGCATTGGTCAAGAATAATATCAGTGGGACGAGATATGGTGACAGCATAAATTTACATATTCGAGAGAGACCGCATCATAAATCTCCTCAATAAAGATTCTACGATTCTTTCCTAAACTACAGCATCGTCGCTTCTGGAATTTCTTTTTTCAGAAATTCAGATATTTAAAAAGAAGTACTACAGGTTGGGCTTCCATCACCCCCACGGATCCCATATTCTTCTCTCGCGCGTGCTTGTACATTTTCAAGCACTTTGCGGATTGTCCCTCAAGGAAAAAACGTCCTCAACCATTTGCACTCTCGCCGGTTCGGTCGTAAATCTTTTAATTTCGTCAATTGAGTCCCAAACCGTTTCACATTTTGTCAATTTGATCAATTCGATCAAATTTGGCTAGAAATCACTGACGTGAACGTCAGCCGTTTTATGTGACACGACCAGCACTAGTGTAAATAAATTTTTTTTTAATATTTTAATTTTTTTTTTCTTTCTCTCTCTTTTCTATCCTTCTTTCTCTGGTCATCGAGGTTAACCTTAAGCTCGCCATCCCTAGGCGCAGGAGAACCTAGCGACAGTGAGGTTGGCCTCGCCTTGAGTGGGCAATGCTCGACCTCACCGGCCCTCGTCTAGGTCGCGATCGGCTAGAGAAAGAAGGGTAGAAAAAAAAAAGAAACAGAAAGAAAAGGACAAAGAAAAGAAAAATTAAAAAATAAATAAAAATTCGAAACAAAATGTTAAAATATTATTAAAAAGTATTCACGGCGGCGTCACGCTAGACGGACAGCATCCACATCAGCGATTTCCAATCAAAATTGACCGAATGAATTCAATTGTCAAAAAGTGAAAGTTTAGTACTCAATTGACATAGGGATAATGACACAAATAGCCCCTGAACTTTGACTTAATTTGCAATTTGGTCCCTGAACTTTTAATGTGTTCAATGTAGTCTCTGAACTTTTAATATGTGCTCAATTTAGTCCATGAACTATATGAAAATGGTCAATATAGTTCCTGCACTTGAATTACTGAAAGGACTATATTGAACATTTTCAAATAGTTCAAGGACTAAATTGAACACATATTAAAAGTTCAGGGACCAGATTGAACAAATCAAAAGTTCAGGGACCAAATTGAACATTAAGTTAAAGCTCAGGGACTACATTGAACAAATTAAAAATTCAGGGATCAAATTACACATTGGGTCAAAGTTCAGGGACTATTTATGTCATTTTCCCATTGACATAATTAAAAGGTCCAGGATTGAATTGGCAAAAGTGCGATAAGTTTAGGATTTTTCGGACAATCTCCTAGCCCACCTCCCCAAAGTAGGCATGAAGCATTCCTCGAGGGACAAGCTCATGTAAATCAAGCCACGATACTTTCGCAACACTAATAACTTCTTCCCCACCTCATTTCGAGAATGTTTTGCGGTGTCGAGAGCCGTCGATCGCGTCGAGAGAAGGATGAATGTGATTTCAAATGAGGCCCGAGAAATTATTGTTTCCCACGATTTAGACATTTCTAATCTGCGGCCGCATAATGCGTTAGGGTAGGGTAGGGCGGGGGGGTGCGGGGGGGAGGAGAAAACAATGCGACCCGAAATGTGGATTTCGTACGTGGAGAAAATGGAAGAGGATAAAGTGCACGTAGACATGACCAACTTCTTTCAATGACTATCGTGTATGATTGAACAAACGTTCTCAAAAAGCAAAAGGCCGTGGTGGTCCAAAAGTGCTCTTAATCAAGCTCGAAATCATACTTATCTCTGACTCCCCTTTGTTAATCAACACGGGTGGGAGGCAGATTATAACATCGGACTGCATAATGACTCTATTCATAGTTTTGTTTCCCACTGCAGAAAATTCCGGCAAACAGAAAGGGGAAAAATGATAAGAGCATCGATCGCACGAAGGGATTTTCGCATTCGCGCCGGATGTAAGAAGGCCACGGATCATGCGAAGCTTGTTAGAGTTTCTTCAATTTGTACATGGATTAAGAGTTGCGACGGGGCGATATCGTTCAATCGGTCCTTTAGCTTTGGGTTCCAAGCTCGGAAGTGAATCATGTCGTCTTTACCTTTGCCTTGTCCTTTCCCCCCCGCCCTTTTCGAGTCAACAGCGAAGCTTCCGAAAAGCGGGCGGTCAACCGCACGCCAGGCATGACCAGCAAGTTGCGCGGAAGCGGCCCCCGTGGAAACTGCAAGGTTGACTCCCCCCCGCACCCGCGAGCACGGCGTTTCCAAGTCAACAGGACCACCGTGTACCGCCCCGTGCCCACGACCACCACCGTCGCCACCTCCCCCCCCGAAGACCACGATACTCTCAAAGCTCCCAAAACCCAATTTCTAATTAACTTTAATGCCAGAACGATTGATGATACTGAGATGGTTTTTCGGCTGCACTATTCTCTTCTCGCTCGAATCGAATTAAAACCTATCATCGC